GCAGGAAAAAAAACTTGTAAAAGAGAAAAATGAACGAAGCAAATAATTATTTGAAAAGACTAATTTATAAACCCCTGAAAAGACTTATTGCAAAATTCTGAAATATCTAAAAGATGCAAGTCACCCAGTATCAGTAACAAAAGACGGGTATCACTACACAGACCCTAATCAGAAATAAAAAGCCACAAGATTAAATTATGAACTTCCTATAAATAAAATTTTAATTTTAGATAAAATGGACACACTTATAATAATTTACCAAAACTGATACAAAGAGGAAGCAACTAGAAAGATGTGAAAGCTCCACGTATCTGAAAGAAACTCCATCTATAGTTAAAAGCATCCCACAAACAACGACGATAATTCCAGGCTAAAATTGCTTCAACGATGAAGTCTTCCAAACATTAAGGAAGAAATAACCCTATTTTACCCACCCTTCCAGAGCACAGAAAACAAGAGACCACTTGCCAATGCATTTAATAAAGCCACAATCATCTTGACACCAACACCTTCACAAGCACATCATGAGAAATGAAGACACAAGGCCAATCTGTCTTATGAATATTCAGGCAAAAATCCACCTACATATAAAAAAATATCATGGTCAAATTTACTTTATTCGGACAACGGATGGCTGGTTTAACACTGGAAATCAAGAAATGGAATTCACACATTAACAGAATAAAGAAAGAAACCTATGTAATCATTTCGATATACATAAAAGCATTTGATAAAATTCAAGCTTAGGCCAGGTGCAGTGGCTCACGCTGTAATCCCAGCATTTTGGGAGGCTGAGGCAGGCGGGCAGATCACCTGAGGTCAGGAGTTCAAGACAAGCCTGGCCAACATGGTGAAACCCTGTCTCAACTAAATCTATAAAAAATTAGCCGGGCATGGTGGCAAACGCCTGTAATCCTAGCTACTTGATAAACTGAGGCAGGAGAATCGCTTGAACCCAGGAGGTGGAGGTTGTAATGAGCTGAGATCGAACCACTGCACTCCAACCTGGGCAACAAGAGCCAAACTCCATCTCAAAAAAAAAAAAAATTCAAGCTTTAAAAAAAAAAAAAATTCAAGCTTAAAAAAAACTCAGCAAACTAGTAACAGAAGGAATCTTTTTTTTTTTTAACCTAATAAGTAGAATTTACAACACACCTACACCATACTTAATGGTGAAATATTGAACCCCCCCACCAGATATAATGGGACAAAGATGCCCACTTTTCATCATCTATATATTCAGCATTGTACCAAAGGTTCTAGTAAGTATAATCAGGCAAGAAAAAAAAAAAAAAAAAAATTCTAAGGGCCGGGCATGGTGGCTCATGCCTGTAATCTTAGCACTTTGGGAGGCCAAGGTGGGTGGATTACCAGAGTCAGGAATTTGGGACCAGCCTGACCAACATGGAGAATCCCTGTCTCTACTAAAAAATACAAAATTAGCTGGGCGTGGTGGCACATGCCGTAATCCCAGCCACTAGGAAGGCGGAGGCAGGAGAATCGCTTCAACCTGGGAGGCAGAGGTTGCGGTGAGCAAAGATGGCACCAGCCTGGGCAACAAGAGCGAAACTCCATCTCAAATAAAAAGAGTAAAAACTTGAAATAAAAATCAGCATTTCACAGATTACATAATTATGTATATAAAAATCTTCTGAAGTCTATAAACTTAGAATTAAACATCAATTCACTTCTAGATATGAGAAGAAACAAAAATGTGAAGAATAAGAACTTCTAAATATGAGAAGAATGAAAAATGAGATTTACCAGGAATGTCAAAACTTCAAAAGCCCAGGAATAAATCTTTTGGAAGATGTGGAAGATCTTTATATAAAAATTAAGAAAAACCTTTAAGAAATTAGATATACCATGCAGATGTCAGTTTTTACCAAATTATCTCTAGTCATTGTGAACCTAATCAAAAATCCCTGGAGATTTGTGCCTTCATGTGTGAAACTACCAAACTGATCCTGAAATTTATACCAAAATGCAAAGGATCAATAGCAAAGAGGCCAGGCTCAGTGGCTCATGGCTGTAATCATAGCACTTTGGGAGGCCTAGCTGGGAGGATCACTTGAGCCCAGGAGTTCAACACTAGCCTGGGCAACATAGTGAGACCCCCATCTCTATAAAAAATACAAAAATTAGCCAGGTGTTGTGGCAAGCTACTGTAGTTCCAGCTACTCAAGAGGCTGAGGTGGGATCACTTGAACCTGGGAGGCTGGGGCTGCAGTGAGCCATGATCACACCAGTGCACTCCAGCCTGGGCGACAGTGAGACCCTGTTCAAACAAATAAACAAAAAATGAACAGCCAAGACTATCCTGAAGTACAAAACTGGAGGGAAGCTGTTTCTCCAGAAATCAAGAAATAAAGACTTGTTACAAAGCTACACTAATTAAGAAAGTGTGATATTCGTACAAGCAGACAAATAGGATAATGGGACAGGTAAAAGGGTCCAGAAACAGATCCCCGTGAAAACACCTGATTTATGACAAAAGTAGTAGTGCAAAGCACTGGAAAATGGATGACGTCTTCAATAAACAGGGCTTGGTCAATCAACTATCAAAGGTGAAACTTCTGGAAGGTAATAGAATATCTTTATGACCTTGGGTAATAACTTCCTCAAGAGGACATGATACGCACTAACCATGAAAGAAAGGATGAATAAATTCAACTATATTAATATCAAAAACTTATTTTCTTCAAGACACCAAGAGTGAAAAGCCATGGAGTAAAAGAAGATACATGCAATGCATACAACCAATAGGGCTTCATAACCAGAAGACATAAAGAATTACAAATCAATAGGTTAGAGACAAAAAAATCCAACAACAAAAAAAATAAAACACTGATTTTACAAGAAACAATGACCAAAGGCCAGTAAGCATATAGAGATGCTCAGTGTTGTTAGTATGTAGAGAAGTGCAAATTGAAATCACAAGATGATCACTGCACACTTTCCTGAATAGATACAATTAAGACTACCAACAAAACTAAATGTCAACAAGCATATGGAGCAACTGGAACTCATGAACTGACGGTGGGATCAAACTGGTATTTTAGTTATATGAGCCAGTAGTTTTACTTCCAGTTATACACCAACAGAAACGCATTCATGTGTGCATCAAAAGACATGTTCAATGAATATTCTCAGTAGCATCGTGCATAACAGCAAAAAATGGGAAACTCAAAGGACAATAAATGGTAAATATGGCCATGCAATGAAATCTAATAAAAAGAGCAAGGACATGACTTCTGGCACAATTAATTCCCCCTTCTGTCCTACCAGCGCCACGTCCCCAGCACTCCATCTGCTCCTTGTCTCTCATTCATGATATTGTTTTGTTGTATGTTATCTACCTTGTATGTTGTTGAAGCGGATAGAGTAAAAATGAGTTAACATGCCTGCTAGTTCCTAAAGGAGCTAACGAATCAAAACAAAAGATGATTGCAATTCCAGTTACATTACTCTAAATCCAGTCTCAAGGGACTTTATGCTGAGGTGAAGTATCCTGCTCCAACTCTTAAATCATTTTGGGCAAAGGTCACATAGGCTTCTTACTCCTATCCTTGTTATTTTTAACACTTTAAAAAAGTAAAACACAGGCCAGGCACAGTGGCTCATGCCTAGAATCCCAGCACTTTGGGCGTCCAAGGCAGGGGGATCACTTGAGCCCAGGAGTTTGAGACCAGCCTGGGAAACACAGCAAAACCCCATCTCCACTAAAAATACAAAAATTAGCAGGGTATCATGGCACACACCTGTGGTCTTAGTTATTTTGGAGGTGTGGTGGAAGGATCCTTTGAGCCCAGGAGGCGGAGGCTGCAGTGAGCTGAAATCGTGCCACTGCACTACAGCCTGGGAAACAGACTCAAAAAAAAAAACAGTCTGACACCTTAGTTCATGGAGCCCTATGGTTGTACCTAAAGGCAACCAGCTTCTGTGAGGAATAAGAAACTATTAACAGTTCTCAGCACTCCCCCTTGTGGACTCAAATGATACAGACTACTCAGCACCATGCACTCCAGATGTCCATCAGTTCCTTTCTTGGCCAACTGTGGATTCCCAATAGCTGACCAGGAAATAACTACTGTAAAAGTCAGCACAAAACAAAATATTTGACACGACTACCAAGGACAGTTGAGCAGCTGTTAAAAGCACAGGCTAGGAAGTCAGACACACCAAGGATGACCTTGGATAATCCATGCCCCCTATCATCATCCCAGGGTTAAGTAAAATAGTGTTAAGTAGAAGAACATAATTGGAGCACTGCACACAGGACTCAATATCGACGGGCATTAAAAACTGAAAGGCAAATGGTGATACACAGAATGCTGAGCAGTAAAAGGTAATCAGTGGGTAAGAAAACTGATCAACTTCCCATGAAACAAATCTTTGCAATGAGCTTTTAAACACTAAAGCACTTCCGAGCATCTGCAAAACATTAATCAAAATACAGTCTGACCTTTCAAAAACACAGGTTTGAACTGCAGGCGTTCACTTAGACGAGGATTTTTTTCAACCAAATGCAGATTGAAAATAGAGTATTCACAGGATGTGAAAACCCAAGCGTACGGAGGGTCAACTTTTCCTACACGTAGGTTCTGCAAGGCCTACTGTAGAACCGGAGTATGCAAGGTTTTGGCGTGCGCAGTCTTGGAAGCAACCGCCAGTGTCTGCTGAGGGATGACTGTATGAGAAACTCCATTTTAAGAAAATTGCTGTTTCTGCATTCTAAAATTTGACAAATTACAAAGCAGATAAGCTTACATGCAATGCAAATAGCCAACGAGATGAAAAGGTGTCAGGTGCTGCTCACGAATCGACTGTTGCCTTTTATTTCAAATACTGGCACTTCAGTCCCCACCAAGTTTTAGCAACACTTTAATCTGCTTTTTTCGTTTTAAAGAAGAAATACTGGAACAAGACAAATAGCAAGTACATCCATTTCCCAAATGGAAAATATATATTTAAATAAGGACCATACTGCACACCAAACGTAAAACAAATACTTTTATTGCACATTTATAAAATCTGCATAGTTGTATCAAGTATTCTTCCCTTTCATGATTCCTCCATTACTCTTTAAAATTTGGTTAAAATACAATATCCAATCAGAAGCCATTTAAAAGTCATCAACAGGAAGTATTTTTCTCTACATATACATATATATAGTTTTGCATATGTATGGTGCTTTTTTTCTTTCTTTCGCTTTAAATTTTTTTCTTCTTTTCTTTTTTTTTTTTTTAAACAAATTACTTTTAAGGGCAAAAAAGAAGGCTGGGTGTGGTGGCTTGCCAGTAATCCCACCACTTTGGGAGGCTGAAGCAGGCAGATCACTTGAGGCCAGGAGTTCGAGATCAATCTGGCCAACATGGTGAAACTCCGTCTCTACTAAAAATATAAAAATTAGCTAGTTGTGGCACATGCCTGTAATCCCAGCTACTTGGGAGGCTATGTCACCACAATCACTTGAGCCCAGGAGGCAGAGTTTGCAGTGAGCTGAGATCATGCCACTGCACTCCAGCCTGGGCGATACAGTGAGACTGTCTCGGGGGGTGGGGGTAGGGGGGGACATAAAAGAGGAGGCAGACCAAAATGGTCTTTGGAGCCAGTAGTAGCCTTAGACCATTTCTGACAATTTTCAGATATTAGAAAATTTTACCTAAATGCCTAACAACTATTAACGCATGATCTTTAGTCAAGTTACAAAATGCTGTTCTGTCTGAAGTCCTTAATGGTTTCCTTTCTTTCACTGAGGACTGGGTATGAGGTTTTCTGGTTTATTTAAAGATAGAAAATAAAAGAGAGAGATAGGTCTCTTTTGACTTTTCAACATCATACTGCCACGTGACCTTACATTCCACCCACATGTAAAATGGTTCATCAGCAACCCATCTGTCACCTCCTGTCAAGAGCCAGGCAAGGTTTATATTTCTCATCTCTTGTAGTGAAGAATTTTTAAATGTCGTCTGTATTTGATAAAAGAACTAGTAGCTATTCATCTAGTTCAGGTTCTCATGATTCATTCTTCTATTCTGGTGCCAAAAATATTTATGCCTGGGCTGGGCGCGGTGGCTCCCGCCTGTAATCCCAGCACTTTGGGAGGCCGAGGTGGGTGGATCACGAGGTCAAGAGATCGAGACCATCCTGGTCAACATGGTGAAACCCCGTCCCTAATAAAAATACAAAAAATTAGCTGGGCATGGTGGCGCGTGCCTGTAATCCCAGCTATTCAGGAGGCTGAGGCAGGAGAATTGCCTGAACCCAGGAGGCGGAGGTTGCGGTGAGCCAAGATTGCGCCGTTGCACTCCAGCCTGGATAACAAGAGCAAAACTCTGTCTCAAAAAAAAAAAAAAAAAAATTATGCCTGAAGCATAGTTTTAAAAGTGGCAAGGCTAAGCATTGTTGTAGGTACAAGGCATTTCAGGTCTTCTGGCATAATTCAACACCTTAATACACTAGTTTCCACCTTTTCTAGTGAAATAGCTTTTACGATTTTGTACCTAAAAAGTGCAATTTTATTTTCAATCCTTCTTTACACACCCAGCATGGTTGGGGTCTGAATTGGAATCTTAGTGCCCACTAATCCTTTTCCCAAGGTGAGCACTGTGACAACGGACTTCTGTGCAAGGGGCAGGCAGCCAGAAACCAGAATGGGCCTTGAGCATGTGGGAGCTTATTTCACTGTCACAGTTGAAACTCCTTGAATTGACTCCATGACAGCTGCAAATCGGCTACACAGGTCATAGGGAGAATTGGGTCGAATAGTTGGAGGTTCCTTCAAGACGATGATTTCTGCAGAAGGATCTAGAAGTCTGGGTAGAAACTCCCCTAGGCACAGCTGCAGATTTTCTGTGGAGGGAAAGCAGATGGTTACATATACAGCCCAAGAGATCTCCGAGTAAAAGTGAACAAGCCTGGAAGGCCTTCTATTAGCCCCTTACCTAACTTCAAGGGTCAAAGCATTACGCTGGCCAAGTAACAATAAATGATGATTTCTTCAGGCAAACCAGGAGCAAATGCAAATAAATCAAAGTTTTAGGTCACCTGATGTTGGCAAAATGACATTATATATTTACTTCATTATGAAAGGGTCTTCTAATCAATTGTCTTTTTTAAATATGAGGAAGTAGATATGATACTCTGACATAGATATGATGGTAATACTTTCTTTCAAATGTTTACATGTCAATGTATACACATGGATTTAAGTAAAGCTACATACCATACATGGTCTAAATCATCGGTGTACAATCTTTTGGCTTCCCTGGGCCACACTGGAAGAATTGTCTTGAGACACACATAAACCTCACTAACACTAACAATAGCTGGTGAGTTTTTTAAAAAAATTGGCTGGGCGTGGTAGCTCATGCCTAGCACTTTCGGAGGCCATGGCGGGTGGCTCACAAGGTCAGGAGTTCAAAACCAGCCTGGCCAACATAGTGAAACCTCTAATAAAAAGTACAAAAAAAGTTAGCTGGGCATGGTGGCGCACGTCTGTAGTCCCAGCTACTCGGGAGACTGAGGCAGGATAATTGCTTGACCATGGAAGATGGAGGTTGTAGTGAGCCGAGATTGTGTCACTACACTCTAGCTTGGGCAACAGAGTGAGACTCTGTCTCAAAAAAAAAAAAATCTCATAATGTTTTATGTAAGTTTACAAATTTGTGTGGGCCTTAGGTTGGACAAGCTTGGACTAAATAAAAACTGAAGACAGTAAAGGAAAAGACGTGGCAACAAGTCATTATAGAATTTGTTTTTGTTTTCTTTAAAGAATTTTTAAACATTTTTTTATAAAATAAAGACAGGGTTTCACCATGTTGGTCAGGCTGGTCTTGAACTCCTGACCTCAGGTGATCCGCCCGCCTTGGCCTCCAAAGTGCTTGGATTACAGGCGTGAGCAACCATGCCCAGCCCAGAATTTGTTTTTTTGAGATGGAGTCTTGCTCTGTTGCCCAGGCTGGAGTACAGTGGTGTGATCTCGGCTCTCCACAACCTCCACCTCCAGGGTTCAAGTGATTCTCCTGCCTCAGCCTCCCAAATAGCTAGGACTACAGGTGCCCACCACCATGCCCAGCTAATGTTTGTATTTTTAGTAGAGATGGGGTTTCACTATATTGGCCAGGCTGGTCTCAAATTCCTGGCCTTGTGATCCACCCACCTCTGCTTCCCAAAGTGCTAGGATTACAGGCATAAACCACCCTGCCCAGCCCAGAATTTTTAAATAAATACTATCAATTTATACACTTGAACAAGTCAATGGAATTATCTTTTTTTTTTTTTTTTTTTTTTTGGAGCTAGGGTCTTACTCTGTTGCCCAAGCTGGAGTGCAACAGAAGGGTCTCAGGTCACTGGAGCCTCAAGCAATCCTCTCACCTTAGGCTCCTGAGGAACTAGGACTACAGGTCCATACTACTATACCCAGCTAATTTGTCATGTTTTGTAGAGACAGGTTCTCACTATGCTGCCCAGGCTGGGCTCGAACTCATGGACTAAAATGTCTACGGCCATACCACCCTGAACGTGCCTGATCTTGTCTGATCTCGGAAGCTAAGCAGGGTGGGGCCTGGTTAGTACTTGGATGGGGGGACTCAAGTAAGCCACCCACCTCAGCCTCCCAAAGTGTTGGGATTACAGGCGTCAGCCACTGTGCCCAGCCCCATCTATGGAATATCAATGAGAAACTAACAAAGAGGATTCATATCAGAATATATAACCATTTTTCAAGTCTACTGACCTCACCTAAGAACAATCAGCTTTAGGTTCCCTCCTCACGATGCTTTAAACAACCAAGGATGTTCCACTAATGAATTAATCTTGAAGTCATCATAGTTAATATAACTTCAAGCCACAGAAAAACTTAGTCAAGGCACCCTCCCATAACCATACTCTACATATGAAGATTGATTTTATTTAAATTGGAGTCTTGCTCCATGGCCCAGGATGGACTGCAAGGGTGCTATCTCAGCTCCCCGCAACCTCCGCCCAAAGGTTCAAGCGATTCTCCTGCCTCAACCTCCCAAGTCGCTGGGATTACAGATGTCCACCACCACATCCGGCTAATTTTTATATTTTTAGTAGAGATGGGGTTTCACCTTGTTGGCCAGGCTGGTCTTAAACTCCTGACCTCAGGTGACTTGCCCACCTCAGCCTCCCAAAGTTCTGGGAATACAGGAGTGAGCCACTGTACCCGGCCAGATTTTGACTTTTAAACTATAAAAGCATTTTGTCTTTTGGCACATGAAAGAGTAGGAGAAGTCTGACATTCCTGGAGAGCAGTGACGCTGTTCAAACCGTGCTTGTTGGTTGCCCATGGAGGTGATTTGGCAGTCACGGGGAAGATACAGGGAGATTAAAAGGGGCAGAGGCCCAGGCTCCCTTCCTTTGTTTCAATAAAGCAGATCCACTTTTAACTTATTTATATGCTAGGAGGTTCCAATTCCTTAAAAAGGTTTGGCAACCAGTATTGTCAAGTGAGAACACTGTAATTTCTAGAATTCTCAAAACCTTAGAACTTTATTAGCAAGAGCATATACCTGCAATATCTTGCCCAAGGTAAGAGCACCAATGGTTTCTCATGACTTCAATGGCATCCAGGTCATCCTTGGAGATGTCATTATTAATGATAAGGTGAATGCAGGGGATGATCAGCTCATTCATCACATTAATGCCCTCGGTTACAGAGAGATCATCATTCGTTTCAAAGAGAGAAGCTGCTTTGGCATTCAGCTCCTACAGTTAAAAGGTAGAATTAGGTGGGGAAAAGTATGAAAAAGATAAATATCTCTTTAATAACAATCTAAACAAGCAGTTCCCAAACTTTAATGCACATTAGATGCACTTAGGGATCTTTAAAAACTACTAATGTCTGGTTCCCACTCCTGATATGCTGATTTAATTAGTATTCAGATGACCGGGACACTGGGATTTTATGAAAGCTCCCAAAATGATTCAAATGCAGCAAAGCTTATGACGCAACGGCCTAAACTTATAAGGCAAGGTCCTGCTTAACACCTGTTTCAACCAAAGACCAGTTAACTGCTTCTCTATCTCCTCCGGAACACCAGAATCGCCTGCAGAAGACAGACTGATACCCGGGCCCCTACCTAAGGATTCTGATTTAATTGTCTGGATAGGGGCCTGAGCTTCACGACTGTCTGAAAGTTCCCTACATGATTCTGATGCACACTAGGGGTTGGGATCCAATAATGGAAAGAGTCTAAATCCCTATTACTGCATTACTACGGAAGCTGGGTAGGATATTAAAAAATGTCAATCTATTTGGTAATTTAAAATATAAAAACATGGCTCTAATAAAATTCAGATCCATCAAACCAACAAGATCGCTTTTTCAGCTTCAAAGTGGCCCTGCCACACCTATAACTAATACAGTTGTCGAAGTGTAAATCAGAAAATAAAGTTACTGAGTCTATGTCATGACCTAATCTCACCCATTCAGTATGAACAAGGCCAAGGCAGTAGTAAAAATATTGGCTTATCTTCCGTGAAGGGCAAATTTGCTGGGTATAGGGGGAAATACACACAAGCACAAAATCTGAAGGCAGGCTACCATCTTTACAGTTCTCCGAAGGACAACCATCACATAAACCCCTGGGGAGGCAAGGGGATATAGGTCTGCCTTTCCATGTGGCTATATAGCACAAATCAGGCCAGGAGAGAGTTAGTCTTCACTAGTATGACGATGATGTTATCAGAAGAGCAGGACCAATTCTTACGGTTCCTACTTTTCTTAAAAAAAAAAAAAAAGAAGTATCTTAGAAGTCACTAAAACTTTCATCTACCAGCTTAAAAGTCAACATGGAAAAAATACTGCATTCCTTCCACACATATTTATTACACGCTTCCTACATGACAGTCACAGAGGAAGTGGCTGAGTGAGAAAAGTATCTGTACTCAAGGAACCTGCAACCTGATAGGAAAACAATGTGATAAAATCTATAATGCTGGCACACATGAAGGGCACACAGAGGGATGACTAAATTCTCATCTTAACTTCTATTAGCTATCATTGAAGAAGAATGCCATTCACTAAAAGTAACTGAAAAAAAAAAAAACCTGTTCCAATGTAAAACTGTTCATGTGAATTAGGGGTGAAAAAAACCTAAAACCTGCTGGAAATACTTTGTTTTGAAAGTCATGTCTTTTCAAGGAGCAGAGGTAAACAACAAAAAACACCTTAAGACTTTATAATCAGTACAAACCAGAAGGCATTTCCTTCGGTACAAAGCAATGACGGACTCCTTGACCCCCCGGCGAGGCCCCTTCATCAGCAGGGCAGCATTGCTCTGGTAGGCATATACCAGGTAGGAAAGTGCCTCTTGGTACCTTAGAAAATGGGAGATAAACAACAGCTGAGTGTTTTTTTTTTTTTTTGAGACAGAGTCTTACTCTGTCACCCAGGCTAGAGTGCAATGGCAGTCTCCACTCATGGCAACCTCTGCCTCCCAAGTTCAAGTAATTCTCCTGCCTCAGCCTCCTGAGAAGCTGGGATTACAGGTATGTGCCACCACACCCGGCTAATTTTTGTATTTTTAGTAGAGACGGGGTTTCACTATGATGACTAGGCTGATCTTGAACTCCTGACCTCGTGATCCACCTGCCTCAGCCTCCCAAAGTGCTGGGATTACAGGCGTGAGCCACAGTGCCCGGCCCAGCTGAGTGCTCTTTTACCAAAATCTAGGGGTTAGACCTCACTTTTCCCCATTTCAAGAACCTACTTGGCTGTAATTACAAAAAAGTCAAGGTCCAAAGACAAAATGTCAAGGGCCAGCTCTTCTACAAATTGGCCAGTCCACCCAAAGCAAATCATGAAACTTCCCTGAGCCTCAGTTTTTCCCAACTCTAAAACAAAGAATGCTTACTAGGGTCCATGTCAACTCAAAAATTCATTTTCTGAACATCTTCATTGACCACAAAGACAGTCTGGCACAATATATTTCTCAGCTAATACATCTCATTATGTGAAGGATAAAAAGCCACGTGTGATGTTTAGAGCAAAACTGAAGCACAGGAAGAGGCACACACACTAGTGTATGTGACAAGAGAGGTTATGCATAGCTGTGGCTCTCAGTATTCCCAGGTGGGCATCTACAGAGAACAGCATCCTAACTAACAATCTTGGTAAAATAAAAGGCCAACATACTTTCCTTTCTGATAGAGTTCTAGGCCTGTTAGGAGGTACACAGATACTTTTCGGAACAAACTATAATCTTCATGCCACTTCTGAAAAAGAATAACTACTATTAATAATTATGATCATAAATTGTTAGTGCCCTTTCCACCTAAGTTTTAAATTCATTACAAACATTTACTGAGCACATCCATGTAGCCACAAAAATAACAAACACAAAACCTTTCAGATAAAAACCTACTCAACATTTAAAATAAAAGTCTACCACTGATCTTAATTTTCAATGTTCATTTCCTTTCACTTGAGTAACATAAGTATTTATTTCCTACGAGCTTTGGAATTTATCTTAATTTCCAGTAGCTACGTCAAAGACATTCAGCTCTAGCTTAAGCGAAGGACTTCTTCAGCGCTGGTAAAACCATCCAGATATGAAAAATAACGGAAAGACATGGCCATTTCTAGTCATATGGAGCAACGTTCAAATTCAGGAAGTGTGGCAGATACACTTTGGGTGGTACATAACATTGTTCTACGCAACTGAAAAAATGTGCAGCTATGTATATACTTTAATGCATATTTTAAAAACTGTATCATTTAAAACAAACCAAAAGCAGGATTTCAAGAATTTTACTGCCTAGGACGAGGCTAAAATAGGTATTTAAGGGAAGTGAAGTGTTGATTCACTCTAATAAAAGAATGCAAATAAGGAGACCTACCATTCTGAGGGCAAGAAAATATCATTTATCCATTCTTTACCAGGTTTTTTTGGGGAAAGTGGGAGAACAAGTCAGTTTGTGATTGCTTATTTTGCCTCAGGTACCATTTACCTCAGGAAAGAATGTTTTTCCTCTACAGACTTAAAGAAAAGACTTCACCTTGTACTCTTCCATATTCATGTCATCTGGACCAATTTCCTTCAGTTTCGCTTGAGCCACCTTCATAATGCTGATTGATCTGTGTGGGACAAAGTTCAGAAAGCAATGAAACGGTACAGGGCAAAACTTTCCCAACAGAAGAGTTGGTCTAGCCCGACCCAGACAAAGGAGTGATTCACCTGAATGTTCTCTTCTCACCTTTCATCATAGCTAAGATTTTTATCTGCAAACTGTTCCAGAAGAGTTCGTTCTACTACCCTTTTGGGTGCTTCATTTTGGAAGAAGTAGACAAGGACATGTTGAAGTCGAGGATCACTGTGAGAGGTGGGGGTCTCTTTGGCAAGCTGATAGAGCCTGGAGTATTCCTCATGGAATGCCTATTAAGGACAGAATCAATAGAAAAGAGTGTGCTGTGGGCTTCTGCACACAGAAATTGATGCCTAGGAGCTAGGCAGTCTCTTAACTCTAAAAAGACTTGTAAAAATTCTTGTTGAGGAATTACAAAAGCAACTATGGAATCTTTAAGTTGCTTTCATTCCATAAAGGGTGAAACTCTTTCAGCATCCTGGCATCAAAAACATACTATACCTTTTTTTTGAGACAGGATCTTGCTTTGTCACCCAAGCTGGAGAACAGTGGCATGATCACCTGGGCTCAGATGATCCTCCCACTTCAGCCTCCCAAGTAGCTGGGACTACAGGCATACGCCACCATGCCCAGCTAATTTTTGTATTTTTTTGTAGAGACAGGGTTTCACCATGTTCCCTGGGCTGGTCTGGAACTCCTGAGCTCAAGCAATCTGCCCATCTTGGCCTCCCAAAGTGCTAAAATTACAGGCATGAGCCACATGGCCCAGTCTATTATACTCTTAAGAAATTCAGTTTTCTCATAAAGTTCTCAGAAAAAAAATATATTTAGCTTTCATTGTTATAAAAGGCAGACACTTGTGTGTCAATGACTTAAACTTTAAGCATCTATACAAATGCAATTTTACCCAAGTATTTTTAAAAACATGGACTACTTTGTTATATTATGGTCTCAAAATTACAAAGGCACAATCTAACCCAATTGCTACTAACAGACAACTCCTAACAACACTGAAAAGCCCTCCAGGCTAGGTGTCACTGAGAATGTTCCTGCTAGCCAAGGCTGGGTTAGTGTCAAGTGAAGAAAACAGCTTGTTTATAAGTTGGACAGGAAAGGGAGTTTCATGTTTCACTTCACAATAGACTTTTTTTTCTTTTCTTTTTTTTTTTTTTTTTTAATTTTCTGGAGATAGGGTCTCACTCTGTCACCCAGGCTGGAATGTCGTGGCACAATCATAGTTCACTGCAGCCTTGAACACCTGGGCTCAAATGATCCTCTTGCCTCAGCCTCCAAATTAGTCGGGACTACAGGCATATGCTACCATGTCCAGTTAATTTAAAAAAAAAAAAAAAAAAAAAAAAATTCCATAGTAGAGATGAGGGTCTCACTATGTTGACCAGGCTGGTTTTGAACTCCTGGCTTCAAACAGGCCTCCCTCCTGGGCCTCCCAGAGTGCTAAATTACAGGTGTGAGCCACTATGCCCAGTTTTTTTTTTTTTTTTAAGAGATAGGATCTCTTAGGTTGCCCAGGATGGAGTACAGTGGTACAATCAAAGTGCATTGCAGCCTCCAACTCCTGGGCTCAAGTGATCCTCTACCACAGCCTCCTAAGTAGCTAGGACTATATGCACATGCCACCACACCCAGCCTTAATCCCATTTTTTCCCTTCTTACAGAATTATTTCCCCAATATTATGATGCCTGTGTTGTAAGAATTAGAATTTTAAAAACAGAGATACCTTAATTAGCCCTGCTTCAGACCCATCTCGGTCAAAGGTCTGACGGGCTTTAGCTATGGCCAGGATGACCCCTTGCATGGCAGGGCTCAGCATCACCTACCACAAAGGGGCACAAAACACAGAAAGAAAGGAGAGAAGAAAGGTTCAGCAGAAGACTGTACGAAGCAGGCTGAACAGAGTGCTAAAGGGCAGCAGAGCAGTGTTCCTATGTGCACCCACCACTCTGTCCTTCCAGATAATGTCAACACCCTGCCCAAGACAAGCTATTCCTACACTACACGCTCTAACTTAGTAGGCTGAAGAAAGACGTATGCCTAAAAATATCTCCCAATATGGCACTGCTGAAGATAGTTCTCGGAGGGGAAGTGTCTAAGGTCAGAATTCCAATTTAGTTCTGTACTTTGGGTGTGTATCTTAAACACACAAATACTTCAGAGTTTTACTAGGATGAACAGTGCATTTAAAATAGTCTGGAAACTAGGGACTATATAAATATGACTCTACAAAGTGAAAACTTTCAAGGATTTTTTTTTGGAGATGGAGTCTCGTTCTGTCCCCCAGGCTGGAGTGTAATGGTGTGATCTCGGCTCACTACAACTGCTGCCTCCTGGGTTCAAGCAGTTCTCCTGCTTCTGCCTCTCCAGTAGCTGTGCTTACAGGTGCACGCCACCATGCCCAGCTAATTTTTGTACTCAAACAGGTTTCACCATGGCGGCCAGGCTGGTCTTAGGCTCCTGACCTCAGGTGATCCACCCACCTTGGCCTACCAAAGGGCTGGGATTACAGGCGTCAGAGCCTGTAAATTACAGGATTACCTTTTCAATGATTTTTGTTTGTTTTAAATACCCCACAGGAAAAAAAAGAAGAAATCTGAGAAAGAATTCATTACTGTTTACATGCAGTGCAATTGAAGAGGAGACAGACAACAAATAACTTGGGCTTCTATAGCTTCTTCCTAAAGCTTTAGAACTAAAAATAACTTAAATCCACATTTGTTTAGCTCACTGTACAACTGAAAAATTTATATCTGGAGAAAAAACAATGGACTAATATCCAAAACAAAGATTCCCTACTTTAAATTAGAAGGAAATCTTTTGTCCAAAGTAACAAAAAGGGAACCAAATTTTACCTTTCTGAGTAATCTAGACCCTGCAGTGGCCCCGTTAAGTACCAGCCTGGGTAGATACACACGTGCTGGGAGCGCTAACAGTAGAAACACGACTATGTTTCATAAGGTCAAAACCAAATAGGCTTTCTTGACAATTATTTGTTGCAATGAGAAAATATCAGCTATTGGCAGATACCTTAATATAGTAACAAGAGAAGGAAATACAAGACCGACAACAAACAGCTAAATCCTGCACTCATCTCTGTACCTCCTCATCATATCCATCTGCATCAGATCTAACCAGAATCCTTCCCACACTGGGAATCTCGACTTCAGAGACCTCAGAATTAGGCTGGGCAGTAGACTCTGCATCATTAGCCTTTTGAGGCTGCTCTGACTGCTCTGCAAGGTTTGTTTCCTGGGGCATGGGCTTCTTGGGTTCAGCTTCTTTAAGCTGTGGCAGCAGAGTGGGGAGAAAGAGTAAGAAAAAAACAGGAGAAATAAAAAGGGGTTGGTTAAATGCAGCAGAGACACAGAATAAAAGACATGTGAGAAAACTGACCATTGCTGATGAAAGCCCGGCCCTCCTGAACTTGGGCTTCCCAGTCATTCTCACCTCACTCAGTGCTGCTTCTACACCGCTCTTCTCATAGGCACGGGCTGTGTTTGCAATAGCCTGGGCAGTCTGCTCCTTTACAATCACAGCATGCTCAGATGACAAGCAGCGAACCCCATGAGAAGAGGCTACTGAAGGCTCTGATAAAGAATTATACAAAGGTCTTAGCATCTGATGATAAATAGTCTAGAATATTCAGATAAAAAGCAAGCAGAATGGATACATTTACAACCTATATATTGTATAGCAGGGTTGTATATTAAACAAAAGCTTTTTACAAAGCCTATGCAGGTTTTCCCTAGAAATCAATAACTGCAGGAAATGGCTACTTCAGCAAGAACAATGATAAAGTCTGTAAACTTTGAACCCACTGATAAGCCTGTAAATTTAATGCATACCCAACTTGGTCACATTTCTATACATTAAGAAAACTTTCTACAAACAAGCATCTGTTAGGAAGATCACCTTTGGAGAATAGTTGTCATAAAGTTTACCTATTCTTATCATAGTTTCTCCCATAACCTGGGAAATAAGCAAAACCATATACACAGTCAAAGTCACAGGTAGTTCTTTCTGATATTACTTCTCTTCACCAGAAATCACATTCTAATGCCACAATTCATTCCATTAGGTTGTGCCTGCCATGACAACTGCATATGAAATACACTGTCAAGACTGTGGCATCACTTAGCCATGTGAAGGGCATAGGGCTGGCTAGGGGAGTACAGCATGAAATGTTACTAGATCACTGGCATAAATGCCTTCTCAGATACCTTGTGATGTAGAGAAGTCCTGTGATGAGGAGTTGGTGGAGGACTCCATTTGAGGGATTTTGCAAGATTGCTCTTCTTCCCACTCCTCTACTTCCTGCTCAAACCGCCAGTTATCCTCCTGAATGTAATGCTTAAGTTCCACAGATAAGGCTTCCACTTCTGACATTTGATCTGACTCATTTGAGGCTGCCTCTGAGGAAAAGCAAAGATAGAGTTAAAAGGTCACAAGGAACCAAAGATCATAAGAAACCAAAACATCCTTTTTAGAAAGGAAGAAAGCAAGATATTTCATCTTTATCTTACTCCTAACTAAAAATACAAAAATATATAATTCCATCAGAAATGCAGGCTGAGTATCTCCTACTCAAAATGCTTGGGACTACAAGTGTTGGGATTTCAAATTTTTTTCAGTTTTTGGAAAATCTGCACCATTACTTACAGTTGAGCATCTCAAATCTGAAAATCCAACATCTGAAATTCAAAATGCTCCAGAGCATTCACCTTTAGCATCATGTCAGTGCTCATAAAGTTTTGTGGATTTTTGAGCATTTGGGATTTTGGATTTTCACATGTGAGGTGCTCAACCTATACGGACAATGTAAGAGCAACAATCAATAACAGTGCCTGACATTTAGTAGGCACTCATTAAACATCTGGTAAATGAATGAATAATACTGAGTTAAAGATTTGGAAAGTGGGCCGGGCACAGTGGCTCAAGCCTGCAATCCCAGCATTTTGGGAGCCTAACGCAGACGGATGGATCACTTGAGGTAGGAGTTTGAGACCAGCCTGGCCAACGTGGTAAAACTCTTTTGTAAACCCTTTAAAAAACACACACACAAAAATTAGCCAAGCGTGGTGGCGCATGTCTGTAATCCCAGCTACCTGGGAGGCTAAGGCTGCAATGAGCTGAGATTGCACCACCGCACTCCAGCCTGGGCGACAGAGTGAGACTCCATCTCAAAAAGAAAAAAAGATTTGGAAACTGGTCATTGTCAATCACTTGATATGCCAACCGTTTCAGGGAAATTCAGAAAATCATTAGAGCCAAAAAAAATTTCAGGCTAAACAGTTTTATCGATTTAACCACAGCATTTGGTTGTTAAGAATGTCCATTTCCAAAAGGTTAGAGATGAATTTCAAGACATTTATATCATTAACTTTCACACAATTAAGTACTATGAGAAAGCAATTTGATACAATGGTTAGATGGTCAATAATAACCTGGCTCTAATTAATGGTAAGGATATCAACAACATACTAAATTTCATTTTCTAACCCTGTGACCAAAATAAAATAAAAATCCTACATCGGATTAACACATTCACTTACTGGTTGCCATTAATCAGCCTTTTCACTATGCAAATGACAGTTTCCACTTGTTTGTTTCCATACTACAAAAATAAACCATGTACACAATAACAAGGCTCCTATAAACTACCAACAGCTAGTACATTTCACCTGTTACAATAATTTCTACAAGCAGTTATTCATTCTTTCACACCATAAATATACAATGTGAAGATCAGTTACTGTTCAATGATCATTCTCTCCATTCCCTAATCCCCAATCACACTAACAAATAATTAAGATAATGTGCTGCCTGGACAGAACTGCCTTACGTGTTGATTGCTTTGGGACAGAATCTCACTCTGTTGACCAGGCTGGGTGCAATGGCACAATCTCAGCTCACTGCAACCTTTGTCTCCCAGATTCAAGCGATTCTCCTGCCTCAGCTTCCTCAGTAGCTGGGATTACAGGTGTACAACACCACGCCTGGCTAATTTTTGTATTTAGGAGAGACAGGGTTTCACCATGTTGGCCAGGCTGGTCTTCAACTCCTGGCCTAACGTGATCCACCTACCTCAGCCTCCCAAAGTGCTGGGATTACAGGTGTGAGCCACTGTGCCAGGGCTTATGCAACACAGTAAAGCTTGAATACTAAAAGCAAAAGGTTCCTATTATCTTACTTGCAAAATGCTCATCATAAGACCTCTCATAGAGGATGAGAAAGAAAGACAGAATAATGTAAACCCACAGAATTTGGAGAATTATATTTGAATCTTGGAACTGCTATTTATTTAATGACTATGTAATTAGTCAACTTTAGAACCCTTAGAACCTGTTATCCAGCTGGAAAATGAAGATCACACCATTTTCTAACCTTCCTCCCTCCCTTTTACAGTTGTACGTTCTTAGAGAAATAAAGTTTGCAAGCATGCTTTCAGCATTAAAGTACCAATATAAATGATAATTATTCTTGCTCTTAGCATGAGTAGTAGTATTATGACAACTGTGAAACTAACCAGGCAAGTACACCTGTAAAATTTAGTTATTCTGGGCCAGGCTAGGTGGCCCACGACTATAATTCCCAGCACTTTGAGAGGCTGAGGTGGATGGATCACCTGAGATCAGGAGTTCAAGATCAGTCTGGTCAATATGGTGAAACCTCATTTCTACTGAAAATACAAAAATTCGCTGGGCATGGTGGTGGGCACCTGTAATCCTAGCTACTTGGGAGACTGACACAGGAGAATCACTTGAACCCAGGAGGCAGAGGTTTCAGTGAGCTGAGACTGCACCACTGCACTCCAGCCTGGGTGACAGAGCAAGACTTGGTCTCAAAAAAAAGAAAAAAAAAATTTAGTTATTCTCCAAAGGGTGCAAAACTGTACGTACAAAATGCCACTACCAGCACCATAAGATGGAGCAAGAAAAAAGGAAGATGTCACTAAAAACAGCAACTAGAGACAAAGTCTATCTATGGGAGGCAAGTTGAATAAATGTTTAAAATATGTACATTCCATACAATTATTATATAGTTGTTAAAAATAATGAGTAGATTCTTTTCCTAAAAATACAGAGATTGCTAAATACTCGATGAATGAAAAAGGTTCAGAGTTGAATCAAAAAATAACCTGTTGGGGATAAGAGGGGGAGATACAGGTAAATAGAAACTAGCATATGCATACAACATGTCTTGAAGACTACATAAGAAACCTAACATTGTATACTTGTTGGGGAATGGGACTAGTGGTCAAGGAAGGCAGTAGTAAAGCAAACTTGTTTTTCCTTTTCATTCTGTTTCATATTGTTTATATTTTTGAAACCTATTATTATGTAATAATAACTTGTAGTTTAAATTTTTAAAAAAGCAGTACAAGACTGTGCTTCCCCCTGAGCAGTACAGATTTTCCCCCGTCTATAGATTCTGCCAAGATATTTTTACCTGCATTGAAGTGGGGTAGTTTGTCATTAATGTACATCAGGCAGTAAGCACTAACATTTCTCAGGCCCCCATAGGAATCTCTTTCAACTTCTTCCCAGGAAGATTCAGTAACAGAGATGTCATTGTACTTGAGCCAGCTCTGACGGGGTTGATTATAGATATAGGCCCAATAGTGTCCAGCATTTGCTTGTCCTTCATGAACAAGAACTGCATGCAAGCGATAAGGCACCTGTAAGTCAGAATGTACATTCCCCAGTCAGGTGAAGCCAAGTAATCTGATGAAGTTTAGGTTATTAAGAAATTACTATGCATGTGATTAATATGGGGTTCATATTAAAGCATCTTGTTGATTCAAGATGAAGTACTGATAACACAGCCTTGGAATTGATTCTGTCTCAGTTCCCAAATCTTGAAATCCAGATCGGTGAACTACATGATCTCTCTGAAGATTCAACTCTAAACTCCTCAGATCTAAAACCAAATATAACCTAAACATATACATCCTTCCAATTCAAAACCTTGTTTATCTAAAAATAGAATCACTTTGACCACTCCTGCTGAAAATGCTTAGCATATTTGAGACCTAAAAACAAGGTTAGCAGCTATTTTGTTCTATGCCTGTTTTACTTGGCACTAAAATTTAAGTTAACATATTTAATTCAGCCACATGCTTCTTAGAGTTAAGTCATCACCTACCTATCTGGAGTGATGACCCTTTTAATGACATATTTGTTACAACATTTGAAAAGCACATATGTGTATTTTCAATATGGAGAAAATAGAGCAATTCTTAAATGCTAATTAAATACTGGAAAAAGAAATGAAGGTCAATCACAGAATCAAATTAAACTTACACTTAATCAGTACTTTGACCTACTTTAATTACTGGTGACGATTTTTGAAATAACACAAAAGAAAAAAATGGGGAAACCTGAGTTTCACATAGTGCATTCCTGTTAAGCAATGGGACTCTGCCTCAATGCGATTCTAGAAGCAGGGCTCTCCTCCTACAGCCATTCTGCCCATTCCATCCATTCCCACAGAAGTCATGGAAGGCCATGCCCCCTAACCAGAACAGGTTCAGAAAGATTCCTGTAGGCTCTTTTCCCCTCCATTCCCAGAATTTATTCTAAACAAAAACTTGTATATATAGTAAGAATTTCTGTCCTGTCCAACTCCCTTTTGTAATTCATTATTATAGAAATAAAGCTTGAAAGCGTGTTGCTAAATGAAAGATCTTGAAGAATCATGGAACTTTTGGAAAGAAAGGGTAACTTTCCCTAGTTCAGTTTTCTCCACTGCACTACTTAAAGTACCACGCTGTGAGTAATTTTTCTCAAAATCTGACAGCAAACCTTTCTACAATATGAAAAAACTCTATGTGGCAGAATTCAAACAAATATGTGTTAGGTCCTGTTGCTGGTAAAAAAAATATATATATATTGCGTTCTTTAGCCTAAAATAAAGAAACAGAATAACATCAATTTCTATCTTAAGTTTATTCTTGTATCTTAGGGAGATTCCTATTGGGTTTTAAAAAAACTATCAAATTTTATTTTTGTATCTACCATTAGCACATGCCTTGACCACTTTCCCATCAATTTTCATTCTACCTGACGAAGGAGAGGATCACAGTACATCTGCTCAACAGTCTGAGTAGTACTTGCAATACAATTCTTTAAATCTGTTTGGAAAAAAAGAAAAACAAAAGCTTTATTAAAATGATCTCATTCTATGTCATACAGGCTACTACAACTAAGCAAAGACAACTGCTTAGGGTCCTAATGATCTCAGCTTCCCTCTATGAACCACGAAGCAGTGTCCAGTTTTCTTTTTCTTTTTTTTTCAGGTGTCTTGCATCGGAACAGTATATAGTTTTAAAGCAGCTAGTACTTTAGGTTATGAAGGCTTTTAGTTCAATGTAATTATATTAAGGTTTTAAAAATTATATTTTATAATTGATACCAAAATTTCTTAAAGATTAAGCCATTAGGAAAACATCTTAATGGGTCACTTGGCTGTAAAATTTATGTCTCAGACAGGATCTGAAATGAGAAAACAGAACAAAGGGTAAGGCTAAATTTCTCTGAATAGGAATCTGGGAAGATTCTGGAATTTCCATCGTCTTTTTGTTCCCTAGACAAAAGGAGAAAGGAAGTGGGGGGTAAGGCTATTCAGAGCAATATGGGCAATGAGGTTAAAGGACTTTTAAAGAATACAATGCTATATAATCCAATTTTACACTGTGGGTACTGCTCAAATACCCTGCCTTGTTAACTTTCAGTAAAGCATGTTTCATATATAAAAGACTTTAAAAAGCAGAAGTCCAGAAAAGCTAAATGCTAAATCTGGGTCAACTTAAGCCAGGGTTTAGATAAACTACCACAGAAACAGAAATCAACAGATACAGAAAAATACCAGCAAAGGTGATCATTTCCCAGAAATTTTGAGGGAGGATCTTTCCACATCTGTGTAATAGGGGTGTGTGAGCCAAGCTTACAGGGCACTAAAAGTACAAAAGAAGCCACAATTACCATGTCAAAATTCAATAGCATGAGTCAGCTGTGGTGGCTCACACCTGTAATCCAGTACTTTGGGAGGCCAAGGCGGGTAAATCACTTTAGATCAGCAGTTTAAGATCAGCCTGGCCAACACAGTGAAACCCCATCTCTACTAAAAATAACAATAATACAAAAATTAGCCAGGTGTAGTGGTGCGTGCCTATAATCCCCTTGAGGCTGAGGCACGAAAATGGCCTGAACCTGGGAGGCGGAGGTTGCAGGGAGCCAAGACTGCACCACTGCACTCCAGCCTGGGTGACAGCAAGACTCCATCTTGAGGGGAAAAAATTCTGTACCATGTACAGTAATGTCAGGAAGTGTACCAAGGTGCTTAACCTCCAAATAGTCAAAAGACAGAAAAGGAAGAGTAACTGACAAGTTTTAAAAGAGCCAACCTTGTATATCTTGTTCAATCTCACTCCTCCACCTCTGAAGACAAGTCTTAACAAAGTTTATCTCCTCATCTGTAACTGTTCTTGGAGCTGGCTGTGCAGGCATTTCCATGGAAGACCGAGAAGATGTAAATGGTTTAGACTTGTGTTGAGAATCTTCAGGAGAAGAAAAGGTACTTTCAACATCCTGAGAAGAGCTTTCTGTACTCGTACTGAGGAAGACAAAAATCATGTTCATAATGATAATTTGCAAAAGATATCCTGGCTTAAATTATGTACTTTGGAAAGCAAGATGCTATATGAAAAAGTACAGGTATTCAGTGAGCATTAACTCTAAAAAGGTATGGAGCCAACCCTTTTCTCTATATATATCATCTCATGTACCACAACTAGCCTGTCAGGCAGATACTATTCTACCCCTGTTTTACCAACCGCAAGCCTAAGGTTAAAGAAATTGAACAGCAACACGTCCAAGTTCACCAAGCTAGTAAGTAAAGAAAAGGAATCCGAAGGCGGATCGGTCAGAGTCTTCAGTTCATGTTCTCTGATCATTGATTATTCCTTCTCATAAAGATCGGAAGAGAAGGAAGATGGAGAAGAGAAGACTAGGCCTGCAAGAATTAAGGAATCAACTACAGAGTTTACAAGATGAACCCAACTAAAGTGGTGCTATCCATCCAGGAACAAAATACACAGAAGCAAGAAAAAGGAAGCATCGGCTGAACATACAACTCTACAACTCACAGGAACACACACTAGGTGACACCTTGGAGAGCTGTGAGAGTAGGGCTTCAAGTCAGACAATCCTAGCTCCACTATTTTAGCTAAATATCCAAGGAAAAGAGTATTTTGCCTCAGGTAAATAATATCTCATCTACAAAATATAAATGTCAAATTCTTTATGTCTTTACTATAAACTGACAGAGGATAAAGCATATAAAGCAAATGTTAATTTCTCTATTAACCTATTGTCAAACAGAGTAAAACTGCAGGTGAACAAACCAGCAAGAATATAAAATAAGCTTCTAATTGTAGTTAGGTTTTCTCTTTTACACCAAAGCTGAAGAATATAAACTTTCTTTACTTTTGGCTTAAAAAAAAAACCCTCACTCCCCTTTCCCTACTCTCTCACATGCACAAAATAATGGAGGCAATCTCTTTTGCCTAAGGTCCACACCTATGGAAAAATAAGCCCAACAAGACAACAGGTATCTCAATTTCAGGAGATTACACACATACACTTCCCCGTAATTTTTAAATCTAATATCAAGCACTCTTATTTTATTTGATTAACTAGCCTGCCGAGAGAACGATCCAAGATGGCCGATCGCTAACATCCCGGGATTGCAGCTCTCAGGGAAGGCGCGGAGAACTAGAGGACGCCACACTTTCAGACAAAGTCTGGTCGCTCACGGAGCAGAAGATCCCCCAGTGGTGGAAACACACGGGTCGCCAGCGCGACTCTCGTGGTCGGCGCAGCAGTTCCGCCGGCACCTCGGCGCAGCAGCTCTCGGAGCAGAGTAAACGGGACCGCTTCCCCTTCTGACCAAGGTTTGGAGCCCCGGGAAGGCAGAGTCGCCCACTACGGACACAAGAAGGAAGCCCGACAGGAGAATCCTGGGCAGAAAAGCACCATCAGTTTTAACGCCGCTGCTCTGGCCCTGGGAACTAACAACCTGGACGTCCACTCAAGAGACCTAATCCGAAAGTTGGTAATTTCAAAGACGACAGGAGGATAAATTTACAATGACGGGAAGAAACCAGCGTAAAAAAGCTGAGAATACTCAAAGTCAGAACACCTCTCCCTCTAAAGATGATCACAGTTCCACATCAACAATGGAACAAGGCTTGATGGAGAACGAGCGCATCCCAATGACAGAATCACTCTTGAAGGAATGGATAATAACAAACTTTGGTGAGTTAAAAGAACATGTTGTAGCCCAACGTAAAGAAACTAGGAACTTTGAAAAAAGGTTTGATGAAATCCTATTGAGAATAGACAACTTAGAGAGGAGTATGAGTGAATTAATGGAACTGAAGAATACAATACAGGGACTCTGAGAAGTATGCACAGGTTTAAACACTCGAATTGTTCAAGCAGAAGAAGGGATATCAGAGGTCAAAGTCCAACTTAATGAAATAAAACGTGAAGAAAAGATTAGAGAAAAAAGGATAAAAACGAATGAGCAAAGTCTCCAAGAAATGTGGTACTATGTGAAAAGACCAAATTTACGTTTGATAGGTGTACCTGAATGTGACGGAGAGAATGAATCCAAGCTGGAAAATACCCTTCAGGATATTATTCAGGAAAATTTTCCTAAACTAGCAAAGCAGGTCAACATTCAACCCCAGGTAATACAGAGAACACCACAAAGATATTCCTCAAGAAGACCAACCCCAAGGCACATAATCGTTAGATTCACCAGGGTTGAAACGAAGGAGAGGATACTAAGGGCAGCCAGAGAGAAAGGTCGGATAACCCACAAAGGCAAGCCTATCAGACTTACAGCAGATCTCTCGGCAGAAATTCTACAGGCCAGAAGAGAGTGGGGGCCAATATTCAACATCCTCAAAGAACAGAACCTTCAGCCCAGAATTTCATATCCAGCCAAACTAAGCTTCACAACTGAAGGAAAAATAAAATCTTTTATGAACAAGCAAGAACTCAGAGATTTTATTACCACCAGGCCTGCTTTACAAGAGCTTCTGAAAGAAGCATTACACACAGAAAGAAACAACCAGTATTAGCCTTTCTAAAAATACACCAAAAAGTAAAGAGCACCAACATAAAGAAGAATTTACACCAACAAATGGATAAAACAGCCAGTCAACATCAAATGGCAGTAACCCTAAATTTAAATTGACTAAATTCCCAATCAAAAGACACAGCCAAAACCCAACGGCATGTTACATCCAGACCTGTTTCACATGCAAGGATACACAAAGACTCAAAACAAAGGGATGGAGAAAGATTTACCAACCAAATGGAGAGCAAAAATAAATAATAAATAAATAAAAAGCAGGAGTTGCGATTCTTGTATCGGATAAAATAGATTTTAAAGCAACAAAGATATAGTGGTAAAAGGATCAATGCAACAACAAGAGCTAACGATCCTAACACCCAGATAGGAGACTTAGATTCAATGAGACAGAAAATTAATAAGGATATCAAGGACTCGAACTCAGATCCAGAACAAGTAAACTTAATAAATATTTATAGAGCTCTCCACTTCAAATACACAAAATATACATTCTTGTCAATACCACATCACACCTACCCATTAGTTTAAATAAAACATTGATTGGCCATTATTAATACCCAATTTTTTTCAAAATAAAGCAATATTTCCATTTACTCTCCCTCCCTCTTTCTCTTCCTCTTTCTTCCTCTCCTTTACTTATTTTTTTTTTTCTTTCCTTCTCTCAAAAAAAAAAGAAATCAACTTGTAAACCTCTAGATCCAGGTCAGCAATGTCTCTTTCATTGCTTGATTTCCTTTCTTCCCTTCCCTCCCTCCCTCCCTCCCCGCTTCCTCCCTTCCTTCCTTCCTTCATCCCTTCCTTCCTGCCTTCCTCCCCCCCCAAAAAAAAAAAAAAAAAACTAGCCTGCCAAACCACTTTTTAAAAATTCAATTTACATTTCATAAAATACATTAAAAGATTCTATTTTTTAAAAGAAATTCAAAAATCTAAGCAGAATATAAAAAGTGAAAGAGCAGCTCCACTCCTATCCCCAGACTCTTGTCACTCCCTAGAGATAATTATTCTTGACATTTGGTATGTTCTATCCAAACAAGCATTTCTATGCATACATGGATGAATAAATACCAATACCTGTAGGGGGAGTGTTGGGGAGAATAGTTAAGGTTTTTTGACAAAACTGTCTAACTTTTTATTGGGTATTAGTGTTTTCATTAGCCAGGTCACTCATATCAAATGTCCCAGCTACTTTCCATGGCTCCTCTAGGCAATAGAGATTGTTGCAGTTGGCTGCTGAAATAAAATCAGAGGGCTCCTGTGACTTTATCTCCCTCTCTCTTTACTAGACAAGCCCCTCTAGGCTGTCCTCTTATTTCTAGCCAGTTCTTTTTCAAGTTTGAATTTTCTATTCAGGAATAAGTCTCTTTCCTTGATGTTTACATAGTTATGCATACTTCAAGTGTGGAAGCATGAGATATTTTGGAAGAGCAGGGCTTGAGGTTTCCTCTGAGAAAGGCTTTTAATGGTAGCTGGCTTGTAGTTCAAAACAAGGCAGCCCTGGGTGGAACCTGAACACTATCTTGGACAGTTCAAGAAGCCTCTGAAATAACTCAACCATCCTATGGATAAGACAAATGCACTGGTGAGAATTAAGAACACTCCAACCCAAGTGATAGTCAACAAAATCCTTCCCTTTAAGACAAAGAACTCACAGCTCCTGTGCTCTTATAGGTGAGTGTGAATCAGGTATAAAGATGGTGCATAGTTTAAATTATACCAGAAAAAACAATACATACTATTTTTAAAAAACTCTTTTCATTACCTTTCCTTGGATGTCTGGTCAGGAACCAAGCAGTGCACTGAAGAAAGTGGTAATGTCATGTGTGTGTCACTTTCAGGTGGACAGCTTTCTGAGGCAGGTTTTGTACTAGCAAATTCAATAACATATTTCAGCATGTCAGGGAGCGGGAACCGAGCTGGGCCTGAGCCATATTTCACATACCTAAGAGGCAAAGACACTGGTATGCTACTGCCCAAATTGGTTTTGCATTTTAAGATTCGCTGACAAAAGATCTATTTATCACAGGGAGTCAATGGACAGGCTTATTCCTAGAGGCTATACAATATTTAATAGGGTATTCAGACAATCTATAGGGTAAAAATTCTCTAACTACAAAAGTAAAAACTGCCAACAATCTGAAGTTTTACATCTGGCAGGAAACATTTCAAATGGGCTCTAATCCTAATATTTTAAGTAGAGATGGGGTTTTGCTATGTTGGCCAGGCTGGTCTGGAACTCCTGACCTCAAGCAATCCATCCGCCTCGGCCTCCCACACTGCCAGGATTAGAGGCGTGAGCCACTCTGTCCAGGCAACATTTTTAAACAGTAAAAGTAATGCATGTACCTGGTATGAAAATTCAAATACAGATCAGTAAATAAAAAACAGACCATAAACACCATCTACCACCACCTCAGTTCTACTACCTAATGGTATCCATGATGTTTCTTTTGGCAGGGCGCAGTGGCTCACACCTGTAAGTCCAGCACTTTGGGAGGCCAAGGTGGGCAGATCACCTGAGGCCAGGAATTCGAGACCAGCCTGGCCAACATGATGAAACCCTGTTTCTACTAAAAACACAAAAAATTAGCCAGGCGTGGTGGTGCGCACCTGTAAACCCAGCTACTCGGGAGGTTGAGACAGGAGAATTGCTGAACCTGGGAGGTGGAGGCTGCAGTGATCCAAGATCACGCCATTGTACTCCAGCTTGGGCAACAAGAGCGAAACTCTGTCTCCAAAAAAAAAACGTTTCTTTTATATTTTCCCAGGGGTGTGTCACACATATACAAGCAGGTATACGTAACTTAAAAAAAAAAAAAAAGTCTGAAATTTACAGTCATTTTATTTTTTCCATTATAAAAATGTATCAAGGGAATAATCAGAGTTTTTAGGGGCTTGGTTTAGCAATATAAAGACTAAAAACCATTAACCCATTTATGCCTAGTGTTCCATTACTGGAATCCTAAGCTTATGGGAGTTATTTATATCCTACGGCTCAAGATCATCACCAAGGTCTGATTTTTCACACAGAAAAACTGCAACCCCTGGCATAAATGGGTTAAAAACACTTTACAAATTCTTTTTTAACGTACCAATTGGGACCTACATGAAATAAAACCTCAATCTTAGGAAAGAGATTGCTTTCCTAAATCAGAAAAGTTGATTTCCAAGCTACCCTCTTACCTCCACTGCCTTGGAACCCTAGGGAGAATTAAACTTCACCTGCAATGGCACCTCTGACAGTCAAGGCAGGAAGAATGAGCGAAACCCTAAAACAGGCTAGATGCAGACTGTGATGCTGTTTTAGAAATGGGACCATGTAATTTATTATCCAACCAGGAAACTTCTGAGAGTAAAAGAGGGTGCTGTCAACTATTCAAGAAGAAAAGACACAAAATGAGCCATATAGCCACCCTAGTGATCAGGCACTATGGGAAACTACATTTCCCAGTATGCCCTGTCCCTTGAAAGTCAAACTTAACTGCCAGGGACCTGGGGACAGCACCATGTAAGAGGTAAAGGATACAGCGCTGGTTCTGACATGGAGGCTTCCTCTTTCCATGGGACACTTAACCAGACACAGGACATAACTCCAGAGATGGAATTTCAATGGATATTAAATCTAGAGTAGAGGTTTTCTCTCATCAACAATTCTAGCTTTCAAAGATGTGGACCTGGTTGAGCTGTCCATTGGTCCACTGCCCTATTGCTCCTGGTGCTGCCTCTGCCTCCCCACATCACCAACACAGCCACTGTCACCAGTCTTTTGGGGAATTCTGGCCAAGGTATTCTTCCCACTCAAGTTCAACCAATTTGTATAGCTCCATGGTGGCCTGGGTGTCTTTCACAGAGGAATGCCTGCTTTTCCCAATCCGTATGTCCCAGTTCAGCAGCTTCTTGATGAGACGCTTCAAAGACATGGTGACCTTCACCAGGCAATCAGCCTTTCATTTGGGAAGGAGGAGGAGGATATGGGAGTTGTCACTGGTGAGGGACTTGGGATGAAAGTTCTGAAGGACTTTGAAGTCATCGTGGATGGCAAGCCCCACCATCTTCCCTGTCTCTTCAAGATCTGTCATAAGTAATCTTGAAGAGCACGACATTCACCATGTGCTGCTTCTGGACACCACTCCACCTGGTTTGGCAGTCCACAGTGGCCAGGGAGAATGATGTACTTGTCGTAAAGCGTATCTCCACTGTAGGTGACAGTGCTACATGAACCAAGAAAGTAACATGCCCCTTAGGTCCTGTGTCCAGCATCTCACAGCCAAATGCCACCATTCTTCCTTGGCAACTTCTGGGATGCTACAAAGCATGTATTCTGAGTGAGCTTTGGTAGAGTTCTGTGGGGCACTGACCTAAGAGGATTTGTTCTGGGGCCCTTTCTTCTGGGAGTGGGTTAGTTGGCTATCAATCTTTAGAAGGGCACCCCCAGCAAATCTACTTAGCTGCAACAGAATCAGCATTCTTTGAAGGGGAAAGGGATAGCCAAGACACTGCAACTTTCCTGTCCAGGGACTGTTCTGACCCTGACCCACTGCTGGAGGCAGCTGCCTTCTTTTCTGGGAAGGGACGGGTCTTCCAAGTACCATACACCCTAGGAGTTTCTTCTTTCTTTGGAGGTTCTGAGTGCAGCTTTGGGCACCTTGCTAGGGGGCTGGTTCTTTTTATTCAGAAAGCCTCTCTGTTCCAAGAGCTGCTGTTTCTTGACAAAATTTCGTGCTTGGCAGTTCCTTTTAATGCCTTTTTGGAGCAGGTTCCACAAAATCCAGATTGAGTAGTTAGGCAGACATGCGGACAGTCAGTGGTGGAGTGTGTGAGGGTGGGAGAAGTGGGGGAATACGTTCCCTGGCCCCTCTAGACTCGTGAAGGTACAACTCAGAGGTCTCATTTTATTTTCAAACAAAAGTATTATCATTCTAAGGAAAATGGTCCTATGCTCTATTTTAAAATCCAGAATACCCTATTGTCTCCTGGAAAATTAAGACTTTTTCAACTATAAAACAACAGGTATGCTTGGTTCTTTTTTGTTGTTGTTAAAAGATGGGGTCTTGGCTGGGCACACTGGCTCACGCCCATAATCCCAGCACCTTTGGGAGGCCGAGGAGGGCAGATCACAAGGTCAGGAGTTCAAGACCAGCATGGTCAACATGGTGAAACCCCATGTCTACTAAAAATACAAAAATCAGCCAGGGATGGTGGAGCATGCCTGTAATCCCAGCTACTTGGGAGGCTGAGGCAGGAGCATTGCTTGAACCCAGGAGGTGGAGGGTGCAGTGAGCCGAGATCATGCCAGTGCACTCTGGCCTGGGCCACAGAGCGAGAGTCCATCTCACAGAGAGAGAGAGAGAGAGAGACACGAGGTCTCTCTATGTTGCACAGGCAATCCTCCTGCCTCAGCCTCCCATATAGCTGGGAATACAGGCACATGATACTGCATTCAGCTGGTACGGTTGGTTCTATAAAAATAATTTTTAAATTTCAACCTTACAAAGTAAAATACCGCCACACTTAGGAGTTCTGTAAATCACTTCCAGGACAGTATCTGAGGAACCAGTTTCCAGCTGAAGTCTTTACTAAGACAGATGACTAATCACATCTTGTATAAGCTCTTCTGGAGTGAAAGGAAGATGAAGTAGCAGAAGGGGTACAGTGCAGGGGCCATCTTAGGCCTGGTAGGGAAAGTGTCGCCCTTGAGGGAAATTAATGGCCTAATAAGGGAATGGGTGGAGGTGGGGCGGTCATAGAAAGAAAACCGTTAAGTGGATAAAGGGAGAATAAGCCACTGACTATGTATGGGATCTCTTTCTAAAGTGCAAAATCAGTGGGATCTATCTAGACTAGAAAGAAATTACATGGACTCCTAAGGAAATCACAGAAAATCATTCCACAGAAATAGTGTAAAACCAACAATCAGAAAAGGAAAAATTCCTCCAAAAGAGAAGGAACTTTATGTGCATCAGAAATATTAGCCCTTTTAATCAGTTAGCACTGCTCTAGGTAGAAAAGCACTGATTTTTATCTTTCTTAGACACTTCAGAAACTGCTTTTCCAAAAGTGGACCGGACCGTTGTGACACTTGCCTCTCTCATATTTGTGAAAAAGATGGCAAAGGGAGCAGAAAAAATCAAAGGCTATAAAATCAGAACTCAGGTTTTCCTTAGTACACTGCAATAATTAACTGTGTGACTTTGGGTCACTTAAGTACTTGGGACTACTATTTATCCCCGTGAATAATGCTAGCTGATCTTGAAGATTGCTCCACACTTAGACAAAAAATTTTCTTAGCTATTTTATAAAATACTCTTAGTTAATATTTGAACTTTGAGTTAATTTTTAAATAAAAACAAATTATCTGTTTTTAATATTCTACTCTTGTCCTTTACATTTCTCAGCATGAAGGTGTCCACAACTCACCTTTCCAATTTTTGCTGCAGAACTTTTATTTCCTCCTTCAACTTTCGAATGCACTCTCTCTTATTCCGAATAAGCTCTTTGCTCCTGTACATGTACCTAAGTAAATAATCCCACAAACACAATTTATATTTAACAACATTCATGACATGAAGTCTCAATAAACTAAAGAGTCAAGGAAACTTCTTCAATCATATAAAGAGCGTCTGTGAAAAACATACAGCTGACATTATACCTAAGAGTAAGACTGATGCATTCCCCCCGAGACTGGGAACAGGGATACTCACTCTTGCTACTTCTATTCAATGTTTAACTGAAGGTATAACCAATGCAATAAAGTGAGAAAAATAAATTAAAGGCATGCAGATAGTAAAGAAGGAAGTAAAGCTGCCTTTTAGTTCCACATGAAACAAGTATCTACGCAGAAAATTTCAAGGAACCTAAAAAAAAATACATCAGAACTAATAAGTGAGTTTAGTAAAGTCAAAGGATACAAAGTCAATTTGAAGAAAGAAAGAAAAAAAAAAAAAGAAAGGCCAGGCATGGTGGCTCACACCTGTAAGCCCAGCACTTTGGGAGGCTCAGGAGTTTGAGACCAGCCTGACCAACATGAAGAAACCCCATCGCCACTAAATTAGCCAGGCACAGTGGTACACGCCTGTAGTCCCAGTTACTCAGGAGGCTGAGGCAGGAGAATCACTTGAACCCAGGAGGCAGAGGTTGCAGTGAGCCGAGATTACACATTGCACTCCAGCCTGGGCAACAACAGTGAAACTCCATCTCAAAAAAAAAACAAAAACTGCAATTCCATACTCTTTTGTAAAAGAACAAATGAAAATGAAATTAAAAGCATGAATCTGAGATAAATTTAATCAAATGTGTGCAAGACCTGTACACTAAAAATTACAAAACACTGTTGAAAGATATTAACAAGGACTTAGATAAATCTTTATTAATTTATTTAATAAATGGAGCTACAGGCCATTCATGGATTGAAGGACTCAATATTTTTTTTTTTTTTTTTTTTTTTTTTGAGACGGAGTCTCACTCTTGTCACCCAGGCTGGAGTGTAATGGTACTATCTTGGCTCACTGCAACCTCTGCCTCCCAGGTTCAAGCAATTCTCCTGCCTCAGCCTCCTGTGTAGCTGAGACTACAGGTGCTCACAACCACACCCAGCTAATTTTTTTTTTAAGTACAGACAGGGTTTCAACCATATTGGCCAGACTGGTCTCGAACTCCTGACCTTAGGTGATCCACCTGCCTCAGCCTCCCAAAGTGCTGGGATTACAGGCCTGAGCCACCGAGCTCGGCCTAAAGACTCAATATAATTAAGATGTCAGTTCTCCCCAAACTGATCTATAAGTTCAAAACACCACCAATCAAAATCCCAATAGCCACTGGTTAGAAACTGACAAGCTGATAAAAGTTTATTTGGAAATGCAAAGGACCAGAATAGCTACAACAATTTTGAAAAAGAAGAACAAAGTTGGAAGATTCATACTATCTAATGTCAAAATTTGCAATAAAACCATAGTAATGAAAACAATATGGCATTGGCATTAGACCAGACAACAGATAGAACAGACTCCAGATATAGATCCCCAAATATATGTTCAATTCATTTTTGACAAAGTGCCAAGATAATTCAATGGGAGAAAAGAAAATATAAATCAAAGGAAAAAGAAGATATTCCTACACACTCACTAAATAGCTAAAATCAGAAACACTTATAATTCCAAGCACTGGCAAGGATGTGGAGCAAATGGAGTCCCCACATACTCCTAGAGGGAATGCAAAATTGTACAGTCCCTTTAGAAAATAGTTTGGAAAAGTGGAACTTTTCATGGAACCAGCAATCTTACTCCTATATATTTTACCCAAGAGAACTAAAAACTATGCCAAGGATCATATGTGAATGATCATGGCAGCTTTATTCATAATAGCCTAAAACTAAATACATCACCAAATGGCGAATGGAAAAAACAGTACATATTACACTAGAATATTACTCAGCAATAAAAAGGAGCAAATTACTTATATATGAACAACATGGGTGAATCCCAAAATTATTATCCTAAAGAAAGGACACAGCCACAGCACGGTACCTACTAAATATCAATGCCACTAATACCACATTCTAGAAACTGTAACATTACAGAGTCTAAAAACAAGTAAGTAGTTGCCAAGACCTGGGGATGGAGAGAAAGGGATTGATCACAATGGGGCAAGGAAAATCTTCTGGGTGTTGGACATGTCCTACATCTTGACTGTGATGGTGGTTATATGCTTAAAAATAAACCATGGGATAAGAATGACTACATAAAAAACAAGTAAAAGAGGCCAGGTGCAGTGCCTGATGCCTATAATACTAACACTTTGGGAGGCCGAGGCAGGCGGATCACGAGGTCAGGAGATCAAGACCATCCTTGCCAATGTGATGAAACCTGGTCTCTACTAAAAATACAAAAATTAGCTGGGTGTGGTGGCGCATGCCTGTAATCCCAGCTACTCAGAGGCTGAGGCACGAGAGGCTGAGGCACGAAAATTGCTCGAATCGAGGAGGTGGAGGCTGCAGTGAGACGAGGTTGCTCCACTGCACTCCACCATGAAGACAGCACAAGATTCCATCTCAAAAAAAAAAAAAAGGAAAAGGAAAATATTTTTTCTTTTCTTTCTTGTTTTTTTGGAGACGGGATCACACTCTGTCACTCACCCCGGAGTGCAGTGGCACAACCTCAGCTCACTGCAACTTCCACCTTCTGGGTTCAAGTGATTCTCCTGCTTCAGCCTCCCAAGTAGCTGGGATTAGAGGTGTGTACCACCATGTCCAGCTAATTTTTGTATTTAGTAGAGATGGGATTTCACCATGTTGGCCAAGCTGGTCTCAAACTCCTGACCTCCAGTGACCCACCTGCCTCGGCCTCCCAAAGTGCTGGGATTACAGGCATGAGCCACCACACCAGCCTCTTTTTTTTTTTAGAGACAGGGTTTTGCCATGTTGCCCAGGCTAGTCTTAAACTCCTGAGCTCAAGCTATCTGCCCACCTCAGCCTCCCAAAGTGCTAGGATTATATATGTAAGCCACCACGCCTAACATCAACCAGACTTTTATAAAATTAAAATTCTATAATGCAAGTCTGCTAGGGGACCTACCCACCCCCAGAATAAAGGTAGTTCCTACCCCAAAAGGATCAGGGCTTTCACCTAAACTCTAGCTACTCTAATCATGGTCCAGAGATAAGAAGTAACATGAGCATAAACAATCCTGGGAGGTCTCAGAAAAAGGCAAAGACCCTCAATCTAGACTTACAGAATCCAAATTTGCATATTATCATGACTTCCAGGTGATTCCTATGCACAAAATACTTAGTATATGCTTATCTATCTCTACTGCTGCAATACACCAGGAAATAAAAAAAATCAGCCAAGAACTCACCTGTCCATATAAATAATCTGAGGAAATTCCAGCTTATTGTGAATTTTCTCTGGCTGACCAAGGGACTGATTAAACTCAAATCTTGAGAGTTCAAAGGTCAACACTGGAGGTAGCTTTGTAAACCAACGCTAGTGTCAAGAGTAGAAATGTGAGAGAAAGAAAAATTAATTTTAGGAAATAACAATAGCCAGATTTAAAATATCATCCTCATCAAACTTTCTTCCTTTGGTACAGAACTTAAGTCAAGCTCATGCTAGAACTTTAACACTAAAGGAAATGAATACTTAGAATCACACTCTTAGAGAATATGGTTCAACATTCCTCAAGACTCCAAATTTACTAGCTAGTCAACATTTTACTCAATCATCGTCCTCAGAATAAACCACCCTTGAATATGTGAAGTGCGCTAAGCCTCTACACAACTCATTCATTACATCATCAGTATTCAAAAGGTTTGAAAACTTAAAACAGCAAGCCTAATTGCAGAATATGAAATTGTGATCTAAGCAGCATGTAGCTAAAGTGAAAACTAACTCCATGTTCAGCTAAAAAGACTCATATGAGTATATATATTACATGCTGTTTGTTTAGTCTATTAACCATAATTTGAATCTCCTTTATGTATACAAAGGAAAGTTGAAATAGCTTCATGGTTTTATAATTTCTCAATTTCTAAGAAAAATTTTGGAATTCCAAAAATTCACAGAGGTCTCATAAAGAAGAAAGTTAAATCAACCTACAATGTTAATTGAGTTTCAAGAAAGGAAGGTACTGACAAAAAAGACTCAACAGTCAAGGATCACAAGTGCGGGAAAGCTAAATCAGAATTGGCTTTTCTATTCAATTCACTCATATGTCTGAGGTTCCTGTGAACAGCTTAAAGCTGTTCCCTTTACCAAAAGTACAAGCAGCATTCCCTTCAGATACCCTGTTAGCATAATGAGGTGAATTCAGATAGCCTGTGAGACCACCTAAAGGTGAAATCTAAATGAGCATGATGATTTTGTTTGTTTCTGTTTAATTTTTATAGAGTTCCCATCCTAGAATACAGGTGTCCACAGGTGTAAGTATAGCTGGTGAGCATTCCCTCTTTTCTAAGAGGATACACCAGGTCTTCTGCACAGATGGTACAGATGACATAATTACTCCATTAGGAATCAGTAATTTCCTTGAAAAGCCAGGGAGGCAGTAGCTCTCTCTGAGTTCCAACACTGCTCTACAGTGAATCTATTTTCCTATGGCTCCTGTGAGGCTACCTGTGTCAGTTCAGGAAAGCTCCACTGTCTCCCATAGTAATTAATGAGTCGGACTCATATATAAGCCACAGTTTCGTCTCAAAACATATGATCAGTGGAGAACAATCCCAACTGTGTAGTGTTAAGAATTATGTTACAAATGCTATTCGCTAACTCTTAACCCACTGGAATGAATATTGAGACGTTAACTACCCATACTCTCCCTATAACTTCCCCCCTTTCTTTCCAACCCACAAAAATAGATAAACAAATGAAAATTAAATTTTAAAAATGTCAAAAGCAAAGGCAGAATTTACAATTGAGAACAGTAAATACTATAATAGGGAAAATATTCTAAATGGCATACCATAGGAGTTAATCACTGTACTTTTACCCTCCGAAAATATGGAGGCAGTGGGTTCTCCCTACTCAGGTACAGGTAGGCTTCAACAGAAAGAGAGAAACTTGATCATACTTAAAACATCAGAAGCAGCATACAACCTTTACACAAGTAACTCAAATTCATAGTTTTAGTAAAAATTTTATTTATCAAAATACTAATACTCAGTGACTCACATCAACTGATGAGAGACTTAAGACAAATTCAAGCTCTAAGTGTAAAGTTACTTAATATGTGATGGGAAACTAGTCTGCCCAAAAGCTCACTCCTACTTAACTGGCTTTGTCACTGGCAGAGCAAATAAAGATCTCCAACGTACCTCTTGTCCATACTTCACCAAGTGATCAGAAGGAAGAAGCTCAACATCACCCTCCACCATGGCCCCTTCCAAACACTCGTCTAAGTTGCGATAACCGTTTACCTGAAGAGGATACTGGCCGAAGGTCTCATTGTTACAAAAGGGTTTTCCTAGGTAAAGAGAGAGACTTTTTAAAAAAGACATCACTATGACTATCTAAAGCCTAAATTCAGCAACTTCCTGACAGCTGGTTAGAAATGCACTTAAGCCTTTATAGCAACCTCTACTGAGCCAGTCGATCTAGACACAGAACACTGACAACCACTAACACTGAAAAAAGGCCAGCGGTGTGGTGGCTTATGCCTGTAATCCCACCACTTTGGGAGGCCAAGGTGGGAGGATCGCTTGAGGCCAGGAGTTTAAGACCAGCCTGGAAAACATAGCGACACCCCTGTCTCTACAAAAAATAAAAATCAGCAGGGTGCAGCAGTGCACACCTTAAGTCCTGGCCACTCAGGAGAATAAGCTGGGAGGATTTCTTGAGCCCAGAAGTCCAAGGTTACAGTGAGCTATGCTGACGCCACTGCGCTATAACCTGGGCAAGAGAGCAAGAACCTGTCTCAAAAAACAAACAAACAAAAAAACCTGCAAAAAGAAAGACAACCAGATAGTATGTGCTTCCCGGTCAAGGGATTTCTCAGCACCTGTCAATTAGTCTTGCCAAAAAGAGCCTGACCTAAGTCTAGTCAAATCTCTAGATACAACTACCAATTAATTGATAAGAGATGAGTAGAGAGGAACGTGGGAATATGTTAAAAATATATCAGGAAACATGCAAACAGCAAAATTTCTGACCATGGGAAATGCTACAGAACAAACGACCCAGATTCTCCAAAAATTCTGCATTTCAAGGAAAAAAGGATGGAGGGGTAGCCTACAAATATTCAATCATAAATGACGCTGGGGTCCTCATTAAAACAAACTCTGAAAATAAATTTTCTGTTTTTTAAATTATGAAAATAAATCAGCAATTTGAACACTGACTAGATCGTTGATAGTTTAAAATGCTATTTTTCAGAGTCATATTGGTACTGGATTATGTTTTAAAAAGAATATCAGATTGGTAAGAGTGACAGGGTGAGAAAGGGAATGACTGGCTGTCATGGAGGTTTTTAAATGGCTCTATTGGAATGTATTCTAAATTCTCCATAATTAAAAATAAATTATGTGTCTAGCACGCAGCTTAGTTAGATAAGCCTCCAGAGTGCAAAGTCTCTAGTCTAGAAAAATGTTTTTGGCAGTCTCACTCAATAAAACTTTTGAGATCAGAATAAGCAACACAGAGAAAACTGGGTAAAATCACTATCTGACATTAATGTCAGATTTGGGCTGTGCAAATATTAATCTGACAAATCTAAGATAAAGACCGGGCACATTTAACAGACGAAGAGACTGAGGATCCAGAAGCTCACACAGTTTGTCCAAAGTTAACAGACACCAACAGGCAGAACCAATATTCAGACCTGGGTATCACTGACTCTCAAGGCTATTCATTATACTGCCTCCTCAAAGGGACACAGTAATAAAGATATGATCACAGGTCTAGAATTAAAATTCAGAGCAGAGAATTTACCTTCACGAACCCCTTCAGTCAGGAAAGTACCATAGAACAGCTGCACCATTGGATTTTCAGATTTGTTCCTGGGACTGCTGCTTTTAGGAAAAGGAGACAATTCTGGATTGTTTGGATTAAGATATGCGCTACATAAAATCCAAGCATCATTGAAAAACAAAAATAGTGCATTTTCATCAAACCCCAAAGAGCCAGGTACGATCTGAATAAGTAACAATTAATTCAGTTCAAATATTTATTGAAAACTTTCTTTCTAGCATTGTGCTAAACTCTGAAGACTCAAAGACAAGAAGGCACAATCCCTGGACTTAAGGAACTTAAAGCCTAATAGCAGAGTCATACTTGCAGACAAATACAGGTCTCTATATGCTTTCAGTATATACATCTATACCCAATGGCAGATGCACACAAGGTATAGAAGTAGTATAAAGGTAAGAGTGAACTCTCTTGTGTAGTTTTACAAATAAATACAAAAAAATTTTCTCCCTGGTATAATAGGAATAAAAAGTTTCTTCTTACAAGGCCATCTTAAATTGTTAACTATGTTAAGTTGCTGTTTGCAAAACCATTTCATAGTTATAATTCTTCTACCTAGAATTGAAACCATTTAAAACACAGATTTCTCAGAGGGATATCCATATTCTGTGCCCTGAATTTCACTTCTCTCAGTGACTGAAATGACCATAACATTTTCCTCAAAACATTCTAAGTAGATGTCAAAAAGGATCTTAGATTAAATTTAAGTATACATATTATACCACCATGTTCACGACAGAGACTGATGTCGACCTTTTTACAAACACATTTTTACAGCACATGCTGAGTTTAACAAAGTTAACAATTACGGTTCTTTAGTTAAAAAAAAAAAAAAAAAAAAAAAAAAAGCTGCAGGATAAGATGATTGCTATATCCCTATATCCTTAGAGGGGAAAGCTGAAGGTGGCAGGGATGTACCATGAGTATACTACCTCAGTGGCTACTGCAGGAGATATGGTTCAAAACCAGCAATTTCTACTTAAAGAGAGTAACTTTCCAGCATATAATTCTCACTGGCCCACTGTGAGTCGGAAGGATGTACGAACAAACCCTCAACACTCACTTAACATTAACAGCTAGCTGGAATGCGTCCTCTAGCCAATCCAGGAGCTTGTGTGTGAATTCACTCACATCTTGCTATAAGAGAGGCACAAATTGCATAAAAGTTAGACACAATACTAAGAAAAGAAAATTTATCTATATCCCACCAATGAATTAAGATTCCACTACTGTAAAAGCATTTCTTTTTTTCTCTTTTTTCTTTTTCTGAGACAGGGTCTCACTCTGTTGCTCAGATTGGAGTGCAGTGGCGTGATCTCAGCTCAAGGCAACCTCCGCCTCCCAGGCTCAAATGATTCTCCTGCCTCACCCTCCCAAGTAGCTGGGATTACAGGCACATACCACCATGCCCAGCTAAGTTTTGTATTTTTAGTACAGATGGGGTTTCACCATGCTGGCCCAGCTTGTCTTGAACTCCTGACCTCAAATGATCCACCCACCTTATCCTCCCGAAGTGCTGGGATTACAGACATCAGCTACTGGGCCCAGCCTGAAAGCATTTTTTGGAGGCCGAATATCATGAAGATATATGAACACTGAAACCCAGACTTAAAAAAGGTACATTAAGCAACCTCTAAGTTGTAGCTAGAAGGAGGTTGGAAGTCTACTACTTCCAGCCACATCTATTTATGACAAAGAAAAAAAAAGAAACAAAATCTCCCAGGTAGGCCTTTTTAAGAAAAAGGCCCAAGGAATGGACTGTAGTCTTCTAGAATAATATAGAGATCTGTATAAAGAAAGAAATGTTTTCAGAGTTTTATAGAACTGTAGGACTTTCAAAGAAAGAAAGAAAAAAATTATATGAGCAAGAAGCTGATCTAATCAGTGACAGCTTTGTTTTTGTTTTTTAAATTATTTTTTTCAGAGACGGGGCCTCACTCTGTCACCCAGGCTGGAGTACAGTAGCGCAATCACAACTTACTGCAGCCTCAAACTCCTGGGCTCCAGGGATCCTCCCACCTCAGCCTCCCAAGTAGCTGGGGCCACAGGCGTGTACCACCATGCCCAGCTATTTTTTAATAGCAGACGGAGAAAGAAAAGTCTAAAAGAGAGAAGTTGCTGAGAAAAGCTCCTGAACTCAGATTTAGTTTTAAAACTAGGATTTCCATCTGGACCATTCCAAGACAAAGGTGCAGACAAAGGACTACTTTGCTTGGTATCCCTTTTGTTATAGCTCATTGAGGTATTTCCCAGTCTCCTCCTTTTCTACATCAATAACACCTGTATAATTCTACATTCTTTCTACTACTATTTCTTCTCTTTACAACTGCCAGCCCCCGTGCAACACACGCACACCCTCTCTCACACACACATCTGCTTTCCCTCTCACCACCTGTTCTGTAGGCAAAATAAAAGTCAGAAACAGGTGCTCATAGTCCTGCTAGTCATATTCACAGCTTGTTATGCAGTTGAAATAAAGCAGTACCACATTAATATCGACAAGGCATGACTTCAAACTCAAGAACAAGGCTTCTTTTGTACCTGCTGTTCCTCAGATGATCGGAATGCTCCCTTTAATAGATCCAGGGCTGCGGACGGGTCTACAAATTTTCTATTTGATCCCATCATTAGAGCAAACAAATACTGAAGCTCTTGCATAAACATGATATTTCTCTTTTCCTGTAGAAAACACAGCACATGTACTCTTACAACAGCTCATTTAGAAAATTAGAACATATAAAGGAAAAAAAGTTGTCAATAATCATGTCCCCATTTATATATATCTAGATCTAAGTAAAAGTTACAGGGCTACATATGTTACAGTGACTCTGGTGAGGACTATGCTCTAAACTGAAGACTAACTATATAGAAGCCAGAGACAGCACTGTTGGAAAAACAGAAAATGCCGACTTTCTGAAGCTGCTGCCCTCCCTCTCAAGAGGAAAAGGTATTGCACCAAGGAGAAATCCTGGGAAGGGTTAAACTGCTGGGAGGAGGATCGACCTTTGGCAAAAACAGAATAAAACAGACTAAAAAGGTTCAGATCTCTGGCATCAAGGTATCTCTCCAGCATCACCTGGCCGAAACAGCTCAGGAAGAGAAAGGATACAACAAACACAGGTATTCGGGATCTCCCACCCACATATTTCTTGGAGCCAGTTTTCTAATTTTATTCTTACTTAACTTTACATTTTGAATACCCTTATATGTTATCCCAAAAAAAGAAAAGGCATGTAGAAATGAAAACAAGTATTAGCACAAGCCAAAGAGTATCATGGATATCAGCTTTAGGCAAAAATCTAGAAGCTTGGGGGTAAAAGGGACTAAACAACAGTGAAGAAATTCCTTGACACCAACTTACTGTGTGACTTCGACAATTTTCAAGTACATTTTGTGGCAGACTATAGCTGAGAACAAGTCTTCGAAATTCAGGCAATTGAAAGAGAGACTGAAATAAAGAAAGAAACGGATTCATAGCCTTTCCTCAAAATAACTGCAGCAATGTATATATTTTTCACTTTAAATATTTTATTTCTTTTTTTCCTTTTCTTTTTTCTGAGATGGAGTTTCGCTCTTACTACCCAGGCTGGAGTGCAATGGTGCGATCTCGGCTCACCGCAACCTCCGCCTCCTGGGTTCAGGCAATTCTCCTGCCTCAGCCTCCTGAGTAGCTGGGATTACAGGCACGCGCCACCATGCCCAGCTAATTTTTTGTATTTTTAGTAGAGACAGAGTTTCACCATGTTGACCAGGATGGTCTCAATCTCTCGACCTCGTGATCCACCCATCTCAGCCTCCCAAAGTGCTGGGATTACAGGCTTGAGTAAATATTTTATTTCATATTTAAAAGTATGTAAAACTATCAACCTAGCAATTCAACTTATATTATTTCTAAGGAAATAATGGTTGTGCACAAAAAAATTAGCTCAAAGAATATTAATACTTTTAGGTAAAAAATAGAAACAACCTAATGTCTAACAAAAGGAGTCGTTTTTGTTTTGTTTTGCTTTCGCTTTTGTAGAGACAGGGTCTTCTATGTTGCCCAGGCTGGTCTCAAACTTCTGAGTTCAAGTGATCTGACTGCTATGGCCTCCCAAAGTGCTGAGATTATAGACATGAGCCACCATGCTTGGCCAAAAGTAGTAGTTTAAATAAACTGTATTAGACTTACACAATAGACTACTAAGTAGTCATTGAGATAATACTGTAAAACGCATTTATAAAATGACCTACTATATAGCAGGGAAAATGAAAAAAAGAGCTAATTGTATCAACATGGATAAATCTCAAAAATATATTTTGAGTGAAAAAAGTTACAGAAAAAAGTATTATACTGGCCGGGTGTAGTGGCTCACGCCTATAATCCCAGCACTTTGGGAGGCCGAGGCGGGAGAATCACAAGGTCAGGAGTTCAAGACCAGCCTGGCCAATATGGTGAAACCCTATCTCTACTAAAAATACAAAAAAAGTTAGCTGGGCATGGTGAAGGGTCCCTGTAGTTCCAGCTACTCAGGAGACTGAGACAGGAAGACTGCTTGAACCCAGGAGGCTGGGGTTGTAGTGAGCCGAGATTGCACCACTGCACTTCAGCCGGGCAACAGTGAAACTCGGTCTCAAAAAAAAGGAATTATACTGCTTATAAGATTAACAACATACAATACTACATATTTTTTGGGGATACATACATGTGTGGTTATGTCTGTGGGAAAGGGATGATGTCACAACAGGGATTCAACAGAACAGAAATTTGAAACATAAATTGTTTTAGCCAGGTGGTGAGTACAGCAGTGTTGACTATTCTCCACTCTTCGTCATAATAATGTATTTTTTTTAAGTTTAACAGCAGATATCTCTGGCTAGTAGAACCGAAGAGAGGGATTCTTTTTATTATTTGCAAATCACATTTTTCTATTATGAATATCTTTCATAAGTTAATTTTTTTAAAAAAACTCGTAAGAATATATATAATTCCTCATCCTAACATGCTCCTCAAATGAAAACTCTCTCAGGCCTGCATGCTTGAGGCAGCATCCTAGGTAGATAAAAGGCAAAACTTCGCAATTAGAACCAAATAAAACACATTCTTGGTATTCTAAAAGCCTCAGTTATATTTATTAACGTCAACCAAAGAATCAAAGTGTCAGTACCTGACTACAGCCCATGTGTACCTCTCTGGCTTCCTTCACTCTAACACAAGCCATGGTGGGATTCAGCCAACAGGGTGACTGTTCACCCAGACTAGAGTGTAAAACTGGGTCATGCTGCTGCAGCAAAGGTCTCTCAGGAGCCAGGACCTAGCTGGTGAGCTCTATCCTGAGCCACTCTCTTCTCTTCCACCCTCACCTGTCTACCTGACACACCTGCATTCCTACCCTGCTGGCTACATTCTTGAGTTTCTGTTCCACTGTGAGAAAAATGGTTTTACATGCTTGGCCACTTAACTCCAGCTCGTTGCCATCACAAAAATCGGGCTTTCCCCAAAGATGCCATTGTTCTTAAAAACCACAGTAAATGTGAGCTAAGACTACTCACATCTCCCAACTTATTCTCTATCTAACAGCTGCTGCTTCTGTGTTCTCTGCATCATTTCATTATAGCCTCCTCCAGTCACCAAAGTTTAGAATTACAGAAAAATCCTTGAATCTTTCTCCTAATCATTCACATCCAATGACTAACAGGTCCCTTGGCCTCTGCTTCTGGGTTCTCTTTATAACCTAACTGCTTTCTCCTTATCAGCGCCCCACCAGCTGCTCTAATCCAACTCCCACTGCCGCTCACTTGCATAACTGTATATGGTCTCTCTGCTTCCAGAGCGTCCCTCCACCAATTCACACTTGCCATGCAGCTCCTCGTAACTACCTCCCTAATATGACAAAAATAAAGCTCCCGATTCACTGAAGACTGCCATCTGGTAATAGCTTTCCTCACTCTCCCAAGTCCTGACATCCTCCTAGGTGACTTTGGTCAACATCCAATCCCTGAGGACATCCTGTCAGTGTTGTCTTGAGAATGTACTAAGAACCCCAGCTCTTTTCTATTTCCAGGGCTACCAGTCCAGTCCAAGTCACCATTATTCTGCATGGATGACAGCCATGGGTCTCTCTCTGTACATTCTTGCACCTCCATCCTGATCTCCTCACAGAAGCCAGAGTGAGCCTTTTAATACGTGAACCAGAGTTCATCAGTCTTTCACTGGGGACCTTCACAGACTCCCTGTCCACTCAGACCCTCATCTCCAGTGACCTTCCCTTTGCTCTTAGCATCCAGCCAACCAGACTCCAGCATGTTCCCTGAACACACCAAACCCATTCCCATCATGAAGCCATCGCTCTGTGCATTCCTCTACCTGGAATGTTTTTGTCCCAGTAGCTGCCTGGTTCACTCCCTTGCCAGTCTCACCCGCCTTCCCCACCTCAATGAGGTTCACCGAACACCACAGTTAATACTGCAACCTGTTACCATCCTCCTGCAGTTCTAATCTCCCTAACTTTTCTCTTTATTCTACTGGACCAATCACAGTCTAATGTATTATACAATTTATTTAGCTAGTTCATCATTCTGTTAGTTTTTCATTTACTGTTCATTTCTATCTCACCTCACGAGAATTTACATTCCATGTGGGCACAGCTGTCTTTGTTTTGTTCACTCCTACACCAAGGGCCTAGAACACTGCTAGACATAGAGCAGGTGTTCAACTGTTTGCTGAGAGCCATTGCATCCATCCAGCCTGGAGATCTCTCCGCTTCTTGGGTGTTGCATGTCTAGAGACACATTCTTCCACTCCATCTCTATCTACACTCATATCCCAGGCTGCACCCAAAATAGGCCAACACCTAAAATGTATCAGTTCACAGATCACATGTTCAGAAAATCTCACTCCGGGACCATTACGTGTCTTCTGTGTTATCTGTCCAATTACCCACAGGATACCTGTTCTTTGACTTCAGCAGTGGCCCAAGCAAATTGATCTCTTTCCTGGCCCCCTAACCATCAGTTCTCCTTCCTATCTTCATTTTTTTCTCCATCTAGCTTTGATACTATGGTCTTAATTACCCTTCGTTAAATTTACAGAGTGCCCTTTTGTCCTTTGATCACATACCCAGCAAATGCTCCAACTTAAATGGGTTGAGTTTTCCATGTAAGAGGTTCAGAATGCTGTCAAGAGAAAGTACTGATAGAAACTGAACATTTTTGTATCACTATTCATTTAAAGTCAACAATTTCAAGAAGACCTTCAAATTTCTGGAAATCCTACTACTGTGCTCTGGTGTCAATTGGTTTTCCCACCATCTCCAATAACTATTTCAAACTTTCACTCCCTTTAAAATCTGACTCTGTCGCTTCTCCACTGTCCCAAAAAGTGGCTGCTTATTTCACAGATGGGTAAAAAAAAAAGACTAGACCCCACTGCAACTTTAATATGCAGTTATCATTTCTTCCTCCTCCCTGCCTATTACTCCCTTGCCCTTTTCCTTGTTAAGGCCAACTCCTCCGATATACTTTCTATGCTGTCTGCTCATGCTGTCCCAGAAGCCTTACTCACCTATTCTCTGCATCTGCTGGCTCTTGTCTACCCTCCACAGGAGTTAAAGTTGAGGGGGATGTGAATCCAGGGAGTGTTCTCTTTCTCTCTCTCTCTCTCCTTTCAGACAGGAAAGAACTTACATGTTCCACATTATCTTCCTATACTCCATTCTTAACACAGATGCCAGTGATCCTTTTAAACTGAAAGTATGATTGGATCACTTCTCTGCTCCAAATCTTCCAACGCATTCCTATTTCTAGAATTCTCCCAAATCCTCATCATGACCCCAAGCTCTCCCATTCCACCTCCATCACCTTTCCTATCCCACTGCTATCAGTTCTGGATCACTGTCTTAGCTCTTTCTCAGACACATTAAGCAAGCTCCTAAACCTCAGTCTGCTTATTTGCTGCTCCTTCTCCGAAATGTTCCCTATGTAATTATATAGCTCATTCCCTGGCCACCTTCAGGCCTCTGCTCAAATGCCCAACCCATCAGAAAGGCCATCCCTGACCCCCTGCCCTCTCCAGCTGAACCCTGTCCAGTCCCACAACCTTCTTCATTCATCTTTACACTTGTCACCACCTGATGTTTCATTTACTGTCTGTGCCACTCTTTCCAAAGTGAACCATGAGAGTAGGGTCTTTGTTTTGTTTTAGTCACTGCTGTTTCACCAGAGCCTAACAGTGCCAGGCACATAGAAGCTGGATGTAGAAAGGGAGAATTCCATTTTTCAGCTTGAGCAGCAGGGTAGGTGCCATGTACCATGATGGAGAAGACTGCTGGGGTGAGCATCAAGGGCTGCATTGGAGCAATGTAAGTTTAAGACGCCTGATTGACATTTCTAGAAAGCCACTACCCTCTAGTGAATTCATTCACTCCCTTGGTTTTATTACCATCTATATGGCACTGATTTCCAAAACTGTAGCTGCAGCCAGCACTTTTTTCTGAAGTACAGATTCATATAATTATCTGCCTACATGGTATCTCCTTAAACTCAACTCATTTAAGTTGGAGGATTTGCTAGATATGTGATGAAAGGACAAAAGGGCACTCTATGAATTTAATGAAGGTTAATTAAGACCACAGCATACACAGACACTGGCACCTCAAACTCGGCATATCTAAAACCGAACTGATCAGCAGGTGCAGTCACTCATGCTTGTAATCCCAGCCCTTTGGGAGGCCAAGGCAGGTGGATCATTTGAGGTCGGGAGTTCAAGACCAGCCTGGCCAACATGGTGAAACCCCATCTCTACTAAAAATACTAAAACTAACCAGGCGTGGTGGCACATGCCTGTAAGCTACTTGGGGGGCTGAGGGAAGAGGATCCCCGGAATCCAGGAGGCAGAGGTTGCAGTGAACCAAGATTGTGCCATTTTGTCTCAAATGAATAACTAAATAAATAATACATTTAAAAAACAAACACACTGGGCCGGGTGCGGTGGCTCACACCGGAAATCCCAGCACTTTGGAAGGCTGAGACCCACAGATCACCTGAGTTCAGGAGTTTGAGACCAACCTGGCCAACATAGTGAAACCCCATCTCTACTAAAAAATTAGCAAGGCAGCCAGGCGCAGTGGCTCATGCCTGAAATCCCAGCACTTTGGGAGACCAGCACTATGGAGGATGCTATAACCTTTCATGGATAATTCAAAATCCCAGAAAAAGTATTTACTGGATAATCTGTCACCTGGGCGACAGAGCAATTCTCCATCTCAAGAAAAAAACAAACAAACAACAACAAAAACTGAACTAAAATCCATTCTTAACACACACCCAAATTATTTCTCTTCCAGTGTCAAATGGCACCATAATCCACCTGGTTACTTGAACTAGAAACCTCAGTCTTACTCAACTGCTGCAGGCATATCCTGTATCCAACTTCCCACCAATCTCATAGATTTGACTTCCCCCGCACCTTAAGAATGCATTCACGTCTCTCCTTCCATGACTTCTGATACTTCTCTACTCCAGACCACCACTGTCACCTACCTGGATAGTTACGATAGCCTTCAACAACTGATTTCTCCTTATTCACTCCCACTGCTATAATATAGTGTTCACTAAACGCTTATCCAAAACACCTACTCACAAAATATATTTACAACAAAATATATTTACACCCACAGAAGATGTTTTTTTTAGAACTGCCCAACTTAGGCATCAGAGCATCTAAATCCAAAACACAATAATGCCACAGGAAAAACTCCCCAGTTTTACAGATCTGTTTTAATTTTTTGAAAGCTATGTTTCTACATACCGCTTTAATAAATTACAAAGTTACTTCCAAAAGACACAGATATCTCTTAAAAATATCATACCTGAATAACAGCACTAAACCAACATGTATTGCCAACGTTTTTCAGCCCAACTGGCCAACCATCAACTCTCCTCCAGTCATTGGGATTGGGGTTTTCTCCCCAGACTTCGCAGCGTTTTCTCTTTGAGCGCTTAGTTTCTGCAGAGGTTGCTTCGTGCATCCTATGTTGTGCAAGACACCAGACATCAAAAAGGATAGCAGTTAAAGAATAATATAGCATATGGAGGATGCTATAACCTTTCATGGATAATTCAAAATGCCAGAAAAAGTATTTACTGGATAATCCCTAGCTATATAAGTAACTGTGAAATTGTAATGCAGATGAAAAGCAAGATTTTAACATAAAAATGTTAATCCTTCCTTAACTGACATTATTACTAATAAGGTCCATGATAAGTTGAAACTCAAGACTGTTTAAGGCTACCATATTAGAAGTTTTAGATTTCAACAGAGCATACTATCTAAGACCCTGCCATTGAAAAGGGCAGGAGAGACACCGTGCTAAACATAAGAGCTCCAAATTGCCCAGGACACAAAACACAGCCCTATGTTCCCTGAAACAAACAACTCAGCAGCGTGAGGGAATAAACATGTCCAGAAACTGATAGGCCACCACTGGAACTGGACGTTGGTGAACAGTACCAAACAATCACCAAATTAGTACCAGTTCAAAAAAATAGATTCCTTGATCACTTATGAGGCAGGGTAGTTGAATAACTTTCATTTAAAAATATGCAACAGCATAACCCTCAAAGTTTATAAAAGAGAATATACATTTATCAGATACCTGGACTAGGTTCTTTTTAATTTACCCTAGTAACTGTGAACTAAAACATCTGGCACACTTCTACTCAAAGACACAGGTTGCAATAAGACCCCATTCCGTTTGGCTTTTTCAAAAGTGAACCAAAGAATAAGCTAATGCGAATTCAAAATTTATTCTAAAAGAAATTTCATTCAGGCGCTTAGCAGAATTATTTCTGAGTGGCATTCACAGCCTTTGACATACACACAAATGTGGGGGTAAGGATTATAAGTTAAATCAGTAACCTGTTAAGATCTCTTCCATCAGCTTGAATTTTGGGAGACTCCAGTAGACTCAAAGCAATGGCAGCCTGAAGATCATCTTTGTTATCATGAGTAAGGTCTATCACTTCTGTAAGATAACAGAAATTTAGTTAGTCTACATACAGGAAACACTGCCCTTGTGTCATATAAGTAAAAGGTAAAGATGTACTCTCTAGCTTTCACTACAATAATGGCTCATCTGTGTAACAATTTTATTACTGTATAACAGAGTCAAATGAGTAACTTCCGCTACACTGGAACCTTAGACTAGCCCACAGTACAGAAATAACAAGTTGCAAAAATCAAATGAATCAAATACCCTCTTCTGTATTCTCATTCCACAAACTCAAAAGTAGATCCCACACATATGGGTTGAATAGTCTCTATTATCACAAAACGTCAGCCAAATATCAAACACCCAGGGAACAAATATTTTCAATCTCATACAAAATATTTCGGAGAATAGGGACATACTCCTCAACCACTTAAGAACAGTAAGGGAAAGAAAAAGTGAAACTCATACATGATCACAGATGCAAAATACCTAAACAAAATATTAGCAAATAGAACCCAATTAATATACAAAAAAAAAATTACATATTAAGACCAAGTTGAGTTTACTGCAGGAAAAAAAAATTGAGTTAATACTAGACGGATCAGTAAAATTCACTATCTTAACAGTTTAAAGAAAAAAAATAATCATCTTAATAGATACAGAAAATGTATTTGATAATATTCAACTTTCTTTCAGGATAAAAATAGGAAGAGAAAAAAATAACCTTAGGCTGAGAAAAAGTATCCATGAGAAGCTCATAGCAAACTTTTGTATTTAATGGAGAAATGTTAAATACATTTGCTTTAAAATCAAGACTAAGACAAACCTAACTATTATCACTGCTTTTTATTCACCATGGTTCTGGAAGTTCTAGCCAGGAAGTAAGAACTTTTGGGCTTGTCAGCTACACGCCTATAATCCCGGCCCTTTAGGAGGCCAAGATGGGTGGATCACTTGAGGTCAGGAATTTGAGACCAGCCTGGCCAACATGGTGAAACCTCGTCTCTACTAAAAATACAAAAATTAGCCAGGCATGGTTGCACATGCCTGTAATTCCAGCTATTTGGGATACTGAGATAGGAGAATCTTGAACCCAGGAGGGAAAGGTTGCAGTGAGCTGAGATTGTGCCACTGCACTCCAGCCTGGGCGACAGAATGAGGCTCTCTCTCTAAGAAAGTAAAGACTGGAAAATAAGAAGCAAAGCTGTCATAATTCACAGATAATAATCACCTACAAGGGAAATCCAAAATAAATCTATAGCTACTCTGGGCATACTGCCTATGGGGTAGCCCTGTTCTACAGGAGCAGTTAAAAAAAAAAGAAAGAAAGAAAAAAACCCCACAAATATTATAAAACTGCAGTAATCAAGACTGTGTGCTACTGGCATAAGGAGACATATACATCAATGGAATAGAATTTATAGTCCAGAAAAAGACTCTTACATTTATGGTCAATTAATTTTCGACCTAAGTACTAAGACAACTCAAGGGGGAAAGAATATCTTTTTGACCAATGGTGCTGTGACAATTGGACACCACATGCAAAAGAATAAAGCTGAATTCCTACCTAGCCCCACACACAAAAATTAAGTCAAAATGCATTAAGTCCTCATGATGAGAGCTAAAATTATAAAACTCTTAGAGGACAACACAGGTGTAAATTTCCATGACCTTAGATTAGGCAACAGAATTTTAGATGACACACAAAGCATAAGGAACCAAAGGGAAAAAAAAGATTTTTAAAAATCTTTGGGCTTCAAAGGACACCATCAAGAAGTAAAGAGATAACTCACAGAAAGGGAGAAAATCTTTGTAAAACATGCATCTGATAAGAGACATACACACAGAACATACAAAGAACTCCTGCAACTGAATGAAACACACAAACAGCGATTTCAAAAATGAGCAAAAATCTGAAGACATTTCTCTGAAGAATATACTAGATAAATGACCAATAAACACATGATGCTCAATATTACTAATTATCAGAAAAATGCAAATCAAAACCACAGTATTTCACACCCATGGAGATAGCTATCGGAAAGTAATATGAAGACTGGCAAGAATGTGGAGAAACTGGAACCTTTGTGAACTGTTGGTGGGATTTTGAGACGGTGCAACTGACCAGGCACAGTGGCTCATGCCTGTAATCCTAGCACTTTGAGAGGCCAAGCTGGGCAGATGGCTTGAGCTAAGGAGTTCAAGAACAAACTGGGCAACATGGCGAAACCCTGTCTCTAAAACATTTAAAAGAATTAGTCGAGTGTGGTGCTGTGTGCCTGTAAATCCCAGCCACTCGGGAGGCTGAGGCGAGAGAATCGCTTATACCGGGGAGGAAGAGGCTGCAGTCAGCCAAGATCGCACCACTGCACTCCAGCCAGGGCAACAGAGAGATTTGGAGACTTGTTCTCAAAAATAAATAAATAAGTAAATAATCCAATTATCATTAGGACTATTCTAATTATCCTAATTATGATAGAATATTACCATTCTATTGTCATTTACTTTTACCAAAATAAAGAATCCAGGTAACAATCAACCAAAGCTGAAAACACTAAGTGAGAAACTTTATGAACTAAGCTGACAATACCCAAACACAATTATGATTTTAACAGCACAAAGAGGGCAACCAGACATTATATGCTTCTCAATCTAACGCAATAGAAGATATACACACAACACTACCTATGACACAGTCATGCCAGATAAGCATCTATGTTTCTAGGAAAGACATGAGACAGAAAAATCCATTGAAAGAGAAATACAATCGCCAAACTCCAGAATGTGTGAAAACTGATACAACAAAGGACTTGATTTCTTTGGATATTAAACTGCAAGAAAAAAAGGGGGAATTTTATAGATAAAGAGAGTCTTAAAAGATACTTCAAACATACTTAGTGTTCTAATTTATTTGGATCATTGCCAACACGGTTAATGAGATAACCAGGGAAATTTCTACACTGGGTATTTGATGAGATTAAGGGATTATTGATGAGATTAAGAGATTATTTTTAAAGTGTGATAATGTTGCAGTTTAAAAAAAAATAAACAGTCCTCTTTTAGAAATGTTACCCAAAAAGTTAAACATAAAATTATCATATGACCCAGCAATTCTACTTCTAGGAATACACACAAAAGAAATGAAAATGGATACTCAGTGAAATAGACACTGGCTTTATCATGACAGGATATTCAATCACTGAATACGCCCGTTACCCAGGTCATGCTGTGGTTAAGGACACCCCTTCAGTGTGGACCCCTCATAAAACATGACTGTAGGAAAACTGAAAAAGTTCTGGAAGCCTTATTAGATTTGCTATCTCAACTTCCTCTCTCGGGTCTTACAGATGCTAATCAAAACAAAAGGTTCATTAACAGGAGAATGGTGAAAGGCTGATGGGAAAAGTCAAAGGACAAAGGTGGAAATGTTTAAAGGATTATTAAGGAAGTAAGTAAAGAAAACACTGAGGTGAAACTAAGGAGAAAAATTAATTTTGAGATAATGTAGAACTGACACTGCAGATCAGTAGGGAAAGTACAGTCTTTTCAATTAAAGGTACTGATTAAAGGTTTTAATATAGAACTACCAAAGGTGGATGGATGAAAGGGAACCTCTGCTGATTAACCAACATTAAAGGGCTTCAAACAAGTTTCTTGCATTTACCCCAGTTTGGAGAAACTTTCAAAGCTGAAAAGCAGAGACTCCAAAGAGAAAGATGACCAACAATTGTTGAGTCAATGTTGAGGCAGGTCAACCAAGATAAAGACTGACAAACAGCCAAGAATTCCTTGGTTCAATCCCTTCCTGGGGACCCAAAGCCTTATGTACACCAGTGGTAAAAGGGTCAGGGCATGGAGTAGAAGCCTTTCTGGGGCTCTGTGACACAGAAGCCCAATGCACTGTAATTCCAAAACCTGTTAATAAAGTCCTAATGGAGGCTATACTTAGGAATGTAAGGGTTGATGGAATTAGGATAAAATTTTATAGGAGAGTTGGCATGTCTGAACCTGCTTCATGTGAAGTAGTTCCATCACTTCTACTTTATTGTATTATGGAGATGGATATTGTATCTGTCTGGAGAACATTCCCTGTACCTACTCCTGTGAAACAGAAGGCACGTAAACTTGTCTTTCAAGCAATAATTAGATGTGCTAAATGGGAACCAGAAAGATTCCCCGAGCCTACACAACATAGAGTTGACGTGCTGGTAGGGACTAACTGACTGCGGAGCACTTACCAGAGCTCATGGCAAAAGCCTGTGAATGCCTCCCAGCGACAACCACAGAGACTTTGGCCTAGAGAATCACCACTCGAGGGGCATGTATTACCTTGCTATGAGACATTAATTGAAGCTATCCCTATAATTGAGGACATAAAATCATCTTGAAACCTGAAATACTCATGCTGTCTTTTTGTGGGCTGTCAGAGAAACACTTCAGTGAGGATGGCAGTGCCCAAGAGAGTTCCATAATAAAATGGAAATCGTTTATACAAAACCTTGCTACCTGGAGAATGCAAGGAGGTCTTTTAGTTCAGAGCCAGTTTAGTTCAGGTCTAAACTGACTCTGAACTGCATGAGGAGCTGCTGGATCAAATCCACACTTGGGCAGTTTCCCAATAAACAGCTCCCAACAGACCAACAAACAAAGAGCTGCTTTGTTTACAGATGACCAAGGTGAATGGACAACAACCTATTTGGAAGGACGCATGACACTGGGATCATGCAGGTAAAAACAAGTCCACCGGTTGTGTTGATTGCAAGTTGTTTTTCTCACAGTGATGGAAGAATTGAACAGTGGTAAAAGCCCCTGTGTTAAGGTTTTTACTCAGTTATGGGCAGTGGGCATTGACCAGTGGCCACATGATCAGGCAGGAGAGCAATGGAAACCTGGCCTAGTAAAGGGATCCCCGTATCGGGCATGACACTGGAAATTTGAAGGGCACATTAAAGTAGGGCATGTCAATGCCAATCAGAGGAAATCCCTTCGGTAAGTTAATATGGAGGTACCGCAGCAGTGCAGAGATGGGCTGAGTCTAGACATGTTCCTTTTCCACCCTCTCAAGAACAAAATGCCAATAAGAACTGTTCTATCTGCAAGAGAAAGATACTGCCTCCGGCTATGGGGAGATTCCCCAGTGGCAAGGCCCAGAACATAGCTGGCCAGTGAGACTGATGCTGGTAGCCCTAGGGGACTACAAATGGGTCCTGACAGGTACAGACACTGACTCTGAACTGAGCTTTACTAACCCAAAAGATCACACAAATGCTCTCGGTTCTAAAGAAAAACTGTAACAGAGCTCTTTAAAAATTTCCACCTTCCTAAGATGAGCCCTTTGACTCTCCCCTCTGCCTTTCACCATTCTTTTGTTAATTAACTTAATGTTTTTATTAGCATCTGTAAGACCCAAGACAGGAAGCTGAGATAGTATTTCAATTCAAAAGGAAGGACAACAATTTCCCAATGTAAGATAAATTTTAAAGCAATGGTCACTGTCAAACCCTGTTAAACAGAATACAGGCCAGGTGTGGTGGCTCAGGCTTGTAATCCCAGCACTTTGGGAGGCAGAGGTGGACAGTACAGACAGGGTTTCACCACGTTGGCCACTCTGGCCTCAAACTCCTTTAGGAATTTGAGGCCAGAGTGGCCAACGTGGTGAAACCCTGTCTCTACTAAAAATACGAAAATTAGCTGAGTATGGTGGTGGGTACCTGTAATCCCAGCTACTCAGGAGGCAGAGGCATGAGAATCACTTTAATCTGGAAGGGGTAGGTTGTAGTGAGCTGAATCATGCCAGGGCAATCCAGCCTGGGCAACAGAGTAAGACGCTGTCTCAAAAAAAAACAGTATAAATAGGTAAACAATTATTTTGGAAAATACTGTCATTACCTTTGAAGATAAGCATATCTTAATACCTACCAACTACATCACTGGGTTTATACACTGAAGAAACTCTTGTATATAAGGACAAGAAGCATGAATCCCGACTGCTCACAGCAGGCTTGTTTATAATAGCAAAAGCTTGAAAACAACCCCAAAGTCAATAGACATGTTGGAAACGGGTTTATAACATCGGGAAAAATCCACACAGAGACAATGGATTACTGAGCAAGGCTAGTTTTACTTCCTACAGGAAGGGTGCAAGTCGCTGGCCATCTTGCCACGAGAGCACCCTTGAACAAGGAGACAGGGACATTTAAAGCTTTCGTAACCGGACGCAATCGTCCTACTGCCGTGTCCAGTTTCCATTGGCTGGAACAGGACCTCACATTCTTTGCCTGACCTGGTTGGCTAAAAACTTGGAAATTCTCTAAAGAAGTAAAGGCGGAGGAGAACAAAGCAAAAGAGGAAGTAATTTGAGGAATGCTTAGAGAAGCGATAACATTTCCAAATAAGGAAGGAGAATAAGCTATGACATAAGACTTGACTGAGCTTGTCCAGGCATATCATGGCAAATATCCAGGTTAAAGTGTAAGAACTACCAGGTTGGGAGTTGGGGGTGGGGGGTATAAATAAAGTGTAAGAACTAAGAACACAGGATTCTCTTATTTCTTCATTATGACTAACAGCTACTTTAAGATTATTAGCAAAAGCTTTAAAGCAAATTAACTTTTGAAGAAATTATTAACTTATTAGTAATGAACTAAGAGGAAAGCTTTGAAGAGGAACCTTTTATTTATTCTTATTTCCTACAGACAAATACACACAATGTGGTATATTCAGACCATGGAATATTACACACCAGTGAAAATGAATGAATTACAGTTATAACCCTCAACATGGATGAGTTTCAAAAAGAACAATGTTGACAAAAAGCAAGTTGCAGTATGTACCAAGAGAAACATATGAGAATACGCACAGCAGCATCATTCAGAATAGCTCAAAACTGCTAACAGCCCAAATGTCCATTAATACCACCTCACGGCTGGGCGCGGTGGCTCACGCCTGTAATCCAAGCACTTTGGAGGCCAAGGCGGGCAGATCACCTGAGGTTGGGAGTTCAAGACCAGCCTGACCAAGATGGGGTGAAACCCCATCTTAAAACAAAAAACAAAACAAAACAAAAAACACCACCTCACCTTCTTCCCACAAGATTCCAGAAGGTTCTCCCCGGTATCTCCTCCCAGAAGCCTCCTTGGCTTCCAGAGTCCCATTCTCCTGGCTTTCCCCAGGCACTCTTCATCTCCTCAGATCTCTGAACACTGAGCAACCAGTGCTTAAGCTGCGGAACCTTTTCTTCTATACCAACTCCCTTTGAGAGCTTCTCAGTCTCACAGCTTTACAGAGCATTTATAGTTAGGATTTTAAGTCCACCTACCTCCAGCCTGGACTCCTCTGAACTGTGCACCTGGGTCACCACAGTCTTTCTGACACCTTCGCCGTGAATGTCTAACAGGCATTTCAAACTTAATATCCCCAAAACTGATCTCTTCATCTGTTGCCCCAAATCTGCTCCACCTACAGTGATTCCCATCTTGGTTAAGTACAACTCTATCCTTTCAGTAGCTTAGGAAAAAAAATTTTGAGTCACCTTTAACTCCTCTCTCTCCTCAGTAAGTAAATCCTACTGCCTTTAACCTTAAAAATACTATATGCCAGGCTGGGTGCAGTGTGGCTCAGGCCTGTAATCCCAGCACTTTGGGAGGCCAAGGAGGGCAGATCACAAGAATCAGGAGATTGACACCATCCTGGCTACTACAGTGAAACCCTGTTTCTACTAAAAATACAAAAAAAGTAGCCAGGCACGGCAGCATGTGCCTGTAGTCCCAGCTATTTGAGAGGCTGAGGCAGGAGAATCGCTTGAATCTGGGAGGTGGAGGTTGCAGTGAGCTGAGATGGTGCCACTGCACTCCAGCCTTGGCGACAGAGCAAGATTCCGACCCAAAAACAAAAAACAAACTATGTGCCAAATGCAGCACTGCTTACCCTCCACCATAGCAGCCTGGCCTGAGCTCCCTGATCTGACCCATACTCATCACTACCCCATCCCTAACATTCTATTCTCAACACCACCATCAGAATGATGATAAATGAAAATTGGTTTATATTATTCCTTTGCTCCAACTCTTCAAAGGCTACCCACCTAACTCATAGCAAAAGCCAGGACTTAGGAAGGTTCTGAATGATCCACCTCCTTCTATTTCCACGCCCTATCCCTTTCGGCCCTCCTCACTCACTAAGCCTTAGCACTGGCCTCCCTGCAGTTCCCTGAGCAAGCTAAGGTGCACTCCTATCTTAGGTCCTCAAATGACTTACTCCCTCACCTCCCCTGGGTGTTCTTAAAAGTCCATCCCATTAGAAATACAGTCCCCAGCACTCCTTTTTCATTTCTTTCATTCTGTCCTTTTCCTCCATGGTATTTATCACGTTCTAATATATTACATCATTTACTTGCTTATTGATCTTCTCCCACTAAAAAATAAGCTACATGTGGGCACGGATTCAAGAGCGCTTGACACAAAGTTGGTCCTCACTAAATAAATGCTAAACAATAAGTAAATAAATGAATGAAATGTTTTAAGTGTTTAGAATTGTGCCTGCCACACAGCAATGGCTCAGTAATAAGCTATTATTACTATTATTTTCAAGGGGCCGATGTGATTAACAGGGAACTGATGTACACTTGGTTTCTTATTTTCTGCTAGTTCAGCAAAGGGCCAAGACAGGGTTTACGGAACCTACTTGCTAAGACTTCCTTGTTGGCAGCACTCCCCTCTACTTCAGATGGTTCTGTAGCAACAGTGTCTTGACTGGGCTCCTTAACTCTCTCATCAGTGAGAAGGCTGACTGCCTGAGTAATGTCACCATTACTGGCCTATGGGAGAAAGAGAAAAGAAAATTTCAAAAGTAATCATCACAGAATTTAAAACTAGTTTTGAGTATTAACTCCATACTATCCTGGTGACACACTGAGTACTTTCAGGCAGAATTCTAGGGTAGAATTATGAGACTATGTTGGACAGTAGGTCTAATGTGCTCAAAGCATCTAATCTATCAAACACCTCATTACAGGAGGGAGCTTCCACGCTCTGACTTCCCACCACACCCAAACAAAAACCGCAATCTCGATGCAGATTTGTTCTCATTGCTTTGGATACTACTACTCATGAGTTCTCTGTACAGTCTAAGGCACAATGTGTCAAAAAGGGGGTTGGCAATGAACATAGACATTCTAAATGAAGTCAGCCCTACAATAAAAACGCCAAGCAGGCTGGGCGCTCATGCCTGTAATCCCAGCACATTGGGAGGCCAAGGCAGGCAGACTGAGTCCAGGAATTGGAAACCAGCCTGAGCAACTTGGCAAGACCTCATCCCTACTAAAAATACAAAAACTAGCCAGGTGTGAGTCCCAGCTGCTAGGGAGGCTGAGGTGGGAGGACTGCTTGAGCCAGGAGGCAGAGGCTACAGTGAGCTGAGATCATGCCACTGCTCTGCAGGCTGAGCAACCGAGTGAGACCCTGTCTCCTATCTCAAAAAAAAAAAAAAAAAAAAACACCACACACACATACAAAACCACAAAAACAACAAAAAGGCAAGCGGTTACCTATTTTGTAGTGGTGATCATACTTGTTTTTATCTTTTTATGAGGACACAGTTCTTACATATATACCAGGAAAGGGAATAATAGAACCCCATGTACCCAACACTTAGCTTCAATAATTACCTAGTCACCTAGTCATAACCTTATTTTTTCTTTTTTCTTTTTTCCTTTTTTTTTTTTTTTTTGAGGCAGCGTTTAGCTCTTGTTACCCAGGCTGGAGTTGCAATGGCGCGATCTCAGCTCACTGCAACCTCCGCCTCCTGGGTTCAAGCAATTCTCCTGCCTCAGCCTCCCGAGTAGCTGGGACTACAGGCACACTCCACCATGCCCAGCTAATTTTTGTATTTTTAGTAGAGACGGGGTTTCACCATGTTGACCAGGATGGTCTCGATCTCTTGACCTCATGATCCACCCGCCTCGGCCTCCCAAAGTGCTGGGATTATAGGCGGGAGCCACTGCGCCCGGCCATAACCTTATTTTTTCTAAACTTCCTATGCTCTCTCAGATATTTTGAAGCAAATCCTAAGCATCTTACCATATCATTGATCAACATTTCAGAATGTATCTTTTAAAAATATAACCCGGCTGGGCGCGGTGGCTCACGCCTGTAATCCCAGCACTTTGGGAGGCCGAGATGGGTGGATCACGAGGTCAAGAGATCGAGACCATCCTGGTCAACATGGTGAAACCCCGTCTCTACTAAAAAATACAAAAAATTAGCTGGGCATGGTGGCGCATGCCTGTAATCCCAGCTACTCAGGAGGCTGAGGCAGGAGAATTGCCTGAACCCAGGAAGCGGAGGTTGTGGTGAGCCGAGATCACGTCATTGCACTCCAGCCTGGGTAACAAGAGCGAAACTCCGTCTCAAAAAATAAAAACTGTAGCCAGGTGCGGTGGCTCAAGCCTGTAATCCCACTTTGGGAGGCTGAGGCGGGTGGATCACGAGGTCGAGAGCTTGAGACCATCCTGGTCAACATGGTGAAACCCCTTCTCTACTAAAAATACAAAAAATTAGCTGGGCATGGTGGCGCGTGCCTATAATCCCAGCTACTCAGGAGGCTGAGGCAGAATTGCCTTAACCCAGGAGGCGGAGGTTGCGGTGAGCCGAGATCGCGCCATTGCACTCCAGCCTGGGTAACAAGAGCAAAACTCTGTCTTGAAAAAAAAAAAATGTGTATATATATATATACGCACATACACTCTTAAGTGCATATATAATACAAAGTATATATATATGTATGTATGTATTCTTAAGTCAGAAACATTCTGAAATGCCAAATCTGTATCTATCCATATCTATATATATATGCTATGATGCTATTATCACACCTTAAGAGTAATAACAGTTTTTTTAATATCAGATAAGCAGTTCAAACTTCCCTGACTCAAAATATTATTTAGTTTGCTGGTTTGGATCAGGAACCATAAAGCCTACAGTGCAATTGGTTGTCATTTCTTAAATCTCTTTTACCCTGCAGGGTGGCCCCAACTGCAAATCTCCTCCAGCCTCTTAAAATTTACATGTTGAAGATATTGGTTCAGTAATTTAACCTGTAGAGCTTCTGTCCCTATAAGTGCTTTCATTTTGGCATAGAAATAGCATGAACTGCCATAACGATAATATAAACAGCTGCTTTTAAACCTCCTAACTAACAAAGATCTGGAAACCAACCTTCAGAGCTTCATGGAGAAAGGAAGGGTCCTGAATGCCTGTGATTTCTCTCAGTTGATTTAACAGCATTTGGCAGCTCTATATTTGCAAAACAAACAAAAAAAACCACAAACATGTCAGTCAAAAAGTAAACCTGGGTACATTTAAAAAGTAAAAGAAAGCATCTTGGATAAACAGGCCTGAAGCTTGCTTTTTTTTTTTTTTTTACATAGTCTTGCTCTGTCACCCAGTCTAGAGTGCAGTGGTGCTATCTCAGCTCACTGCAACCTCCACCTCACGGGTTCAAGCTATCCTCCTGCCTCAGCCTCCCAAGTAGCTGGGATTACAGGCAGGTGCCACCATGCCCAGCTAATTTTTGTAGAGATGGGATTTCACCTTGTTCTCCAGGCTGGTCTTGATTCACCTGCCTTAGCCTCCCAAAGTGCTGGGAATACAGGCATGACCCACTGCACCCGGCCCTGCATTTTTTTTTTTTACTCATAAGAATGCACAAGCTCCAAGTAACAAGGTATTGACTATCAGACACATTCTGAAATGCCAAATCTATTTCTCTTTGAAAAGTTCAAAAAGTTCAATAATTCATAAATACCTTTTGTACTTATGAAAGAAATGAGATGACAGTAAAACTACAAATACATAAAACATTTTAATGTCTAGCCTTAATGAACATTTAAAGTTCCCCAGGTTTTTCTTTCAGTAGGCAATGCATTAAGTAGGTCATATAAGGAGTCCAGGGAATTTGTATGGACATGAAGATGTGCTATTTTAAGCTTTCCTGCACATGCCATTAGTGTGTATCATTTTTCACTGACAGTAAGTTTCCAATCATGTAATTAACCAATGATAACATCAACATATTTTAAACTTCGTGTTTATTTAAAAAGAAGTACAGCTAAGGCTAGAATTTTCTCAATTATTAAATAAAATAATTCCAAAGGGTATAAAGTATGAAATGTTTTCTCTTCATTAATCTAAATCACGAAAAAACCTAAATTGTTAACTTCCAGCTAATCCGAAATCAGTTTACAACCCCTTCAGCCTTACCATCTTCACCCTATCATTTTATACTGCTTTGCACAAAGACAAAATACAAAACACCAATTTGCAAGTACAGCTCAATCTAAACAACTGGCTGGCCCAACTTGAGACACAATGATCTTTATAGATGAATGTTGAAAACAAAGTAGTCTGAAATTAATTCAGCAACAAGAAATCTAATTTATACCATTCCTAAGATTATGCTTAAATTAAGTTAGTAATATGTCTCAGAGAGATAGTCTACATTTTCTCCCAGCTGCAAGAGAAACAGTATCTTATGTTTTTCAACAGCTGAGGGCCCAATGCAACACTAAAGTACCACACAACTAGAAACAACTGAAACATCTCTCTAAAGTCCTTGAAGAAAAGCATCAAGAGTCATTCTGCTGTAGTCATAGGCTATAGTCATAGGCTAGAAATGGAATCCTACGCTGCTGAGACCAGCAGACTTTCAGCTTATAAGTCTTGTCAAATCCAGTCACTGCCTGTGCCCTGGGAGAGCTGATTATCAAACTAAAAGGTTCTGCCTTGGCAAAAACTAAAATTGCTAGCATGTAATTTTTAGAAAAATTAAATATTAATTTTTCCCAAACTAATTCTAGTTCCCATATACCAAAGTGGTATGAATCTATGTATCTCATATACATGACACATAATTTTCTAAAAAATCAACATCAATATACCCAAAAAAAGGGTGGAATAATTGAGAGGGGGAATGAGTAGCATATAATACCAAACTAGAGTCAAAAAGGTAACAATGGGATAACCACATCTTTATTGGTAATTACTCTGTATAACAATTAGCATTTATGTTTCACAGAAAATAATCCCAGTAAAAATACACTGCTTACTTTTAGCCAGGTGCTACTATAAACACTTAGCATGTAGCCGGGCACAGTGGCTCACGCCTGTAATCTCAACACTTTGGGAGGCTGAGGTGAGCGGTTCACCTGAGGTCAGGAGTTCAAGACCAGCCTGACCAACATGGAGAAACTCATCTCTACTAAAAATTCAAAATTAGCCGGGTATGTTAGCACATGCCTGTAATCCCAGCTACTCAGGAGGCTGAGGCAGGAGAATCACTTGAACCCAGAAGGCGGAGGTTGCCATGAGCCAAGATCGTGCCACTGCACTCCAGCCTGGGCAACAAGAGCAAAACTCTGTCTCAAATAAAAACACACTTAGTATGGATTAACTAAGTTAACTCACTGAACCCTCGTAACAGACCTGTGACATAGGTATTATGCCTGTCCTACAAATCTGAGGCTAAGTTTTACAAAGGTTAAGTAATTTTACACAAAGCTACTGCTAATAAGGGATGCACTATACCATGCTGTATCTCAGAAGACAAAAAAAAAAAGGCAAGAATATCTAATGCAAAAAATGCAAATATTTTATTATTGTATTTTTACATTGTTTTTAATTAATTTATTTATTTCTCACTCTGTCGCCCAGGCTAGAGTGCAGTGACATGATGTCAGCTCACTGCAACCTCCGCCTCCCAGTGCAAGTGATCCTCCTGCAGCAGCCTCCCAAATAGCTGGGACTATATGCACCTGCCACCATGCCTGGCTAATTTTTGTGTTTTTAGTAAAGATGGGGTTTCACCATGCTGGCCATGCTGATCTCAAATTCCTGACCTCAAGTGATCCACCTGCCTCAGCCTCCCAAAGTACTAGGATTATAGGTGTGAGTCACCACACCCAGCCTATTCTATATTTTGATCTTGACCTTTGCACCTTAACAAATTTCTTTATTTAAAAATTTTGCCTGTCTTTATACAATCATGAGTTTGATAACTTAGTAGTGCAATGTGTTCTAAACCAGCTATCATCAGAAGTAGAGAGGTAAATATTAAATTTGACTAAATCTAAGGTGGCATCAGTTACAAAGAAAGGAAACCTGCTGCCACTTAAACTATGACGCAATGTCTTAATGGCAGTCCTAGGAGACATATAAATCAGTCACACTAGCTTCTTAAAGCTCTGAACTTTTTCATTTATGTTGAGGAATACAGCAATTTCCCCTGCTTCCAGGTGCACTGTCTGGCATATGATGGGCAATTCTTTCACATGTTTCTCAGTAACAAAACTTAACACAGCCTAACACATCTATGGGTATCTTTCCTTCTGGGTTGCATAAAGCACTTGAGTACAGTTTTGCAAGAAACTGCAACTGCAAACATTCCTCCAAAGGAAAATATTTGGCTTCATACAAAATCAAGTTTATACCCTGCTATTCTGCTTCCATGCCTTTCTTCATACACAGCTGTTTTGGTTGTTTTTTTTGTGTGTGTTTGTTTTGTTTTGATTACAATGTTGAATCACAGTGTAAATTTTTAAGTGACATATGAAATGCCAAGTAAACCGGGTGGTACTATCCGTACATATAATTTGACTGTCAACTGTTATGACAATAGTAACAGCTATGACCAAGTCCATATAAGTGCAGACAATGACATCACATCTGCTACTTGGATGACAGTAAATGTTAAGAACATCTTGATCTCAAAGATCTTAGAATGCCAAATAGTATGTACCGATAAAATATGTATTCAAATACTAATTTACTATTTATACTTGGCCTTGGATTAAAGTTGGTTACGCTGAAATATTCACACTCTTCTTTCTCCATTTTGTAATAGGTCACAGTGAACATTATTATGAATCTGGGATAGGCCAGATGTGGTGGCAGCTCACGCCTGTAATCCCAGCACTTTGGGAGGCCGAGGTGGGTGGATCCCCTGAGGCCAAGAGTTCAAGACCAGCTTGGCCAACATGGTGAAACCTCATCTCCACTAAAAATACAAACAATTAGCCGGGTGTGGTGGCACATTCCTGTAATCCCAGCTACTCGGGAGGCTGAACTTGCAGTGAGCCAAGATAGAGCCACTGCCTTCCAGCCTGGGTGACAGAGCAAGACTCCTATATTTAACGTATATAATTAAAATATGTAAAATATATCTTTATGTTTGTATATTATATTTTATTTATATGTAAATGTATATTTTACATATTTATATATTTCATTATATAAATTAAACATTTATATATGTTTATATATATATCTGAGATAACACAATCAGGAAATGAAAATAAACTCTTTAGTTGACTTTTTTTTTTTGAGACAGGGTCTCGCTCTGTGGCCCAAACTGAAGTGCAGTGGCATAGTATGATCTTAGGTCACTGCAACCTCGGCATCCCGGGCTCATGTGATTCTCCCACCTCAGCCTCCTGAGCAGCTGGAACTACAGGAACCCGCCATCATGCCAGGCTAGCTTTCCTATTTTTAATAGAGATGGGGTTTCTCCATTTTGGCCAGGCTAGTCTCGAACTTATGGCCTCAAGTGATCCACCTGCCTCAGCCTCCCAAAGTGCTGGGGTTACAGGCTTAAGCCACTGTACCTGGTCTAGTGTCCTTTTTTTAAAGGCTACTGGGTAGAGAGGACAACTATGTAAAATTATTTTGTATGGCTCCAAGAACAATGTTCTACATGGTAATTCAAATCCAAATTCCTCATCTTGCCATTCAATGACCATTACCTGATTCCCCCTTAGCCTATTCCACCTTTTCTCCTCACAGTTCCTTAATGCACAAACTCATTCTCTCACGCATAGAGTGTTGCTCCTAGAATCACTAGTAATACGACCTACATTATTAAACTATGGCATGCCAACTACATTCAAGGGTTCTATTTGTCTTACCTCCTCCATATGAAGTCCTTCTAAGAACTCTGCCCATACTGTTCTCTCTTCTTTCACACCTCCCATGTTAAGGAAATGAATGAATAGGCCTATGACTGAATGTGGCTCATTGTCTTCACTTGGCATTCCTCATCATGTGGTTCTCTAATTGTTTTATTTTTTATTTTTTGAGACCAAGTCTTGCTCTGTAGCCCAGGCTGGAGAGCAGTGGCACGGTCTTAGCTCACAGCAATCTCCATCTCCTGAGTTCAAGCAATTCTCCTGCCTCAGTCACCCGACTAGCTGGGATTCTAAGCGCCCAGCACCATGCTTGGCTAATTTTTCTATTTTTAGTAG